GCACAATGGATGTAGAGAGCAGCTGAGGGCTGTGCTTAGCATTTCTTTATTGTATTATCCATCCTTGCCACTTTTATTTTCTCGTGAAGATTTTTTTTTTAAAGAATGGTATCAGCACAAAGGGTGTGCTGAAAGCCCCTTTTCTTGGAGGGCTTATGATTGGCGCTTTCCCTTTTATCAACAATTACTTTGGTGTATGTGACCACACTAGTCTAATTTTATCAGTGGTTGAGTCCTAGACCTTCTTGCAACTGTCTAATTTTATAATTGGGTTTGTATAGATCTGCTTTTGATGAAGTTATCTTTGTTGGTCAAATGTATGTTTACCAATGAATTGACTTGTTTGATTCCAAAGGAAACATATTGTTTGTTGTAAAAACTCTTTTTAAGCTATTGCTATTGCTCTTTTTATGTGGTAAGGGATTTGTCTGAATTATCATTCTTAGTTGGCTAGGGCTGCCGATGCTAGTAGGTCTTTGAGATAGGCCTCAGTATTCTTTTTGTAGACAATCTCTTGATATTGCAGGTTTTATGGAACTTAGTCATTGTGAGATGTCTCTTATTCCTTATAGAGCATATGTTCAATTCTGTGATACCTTACTGTTTCAACTTTGGCATAATGCAGATTATCCCCCGTCAGCTATGTGACAATGCTGGTTTTGATGCAACTGATGTGCTGAACAAGCTCAGACAAAAACACGCTCTTCCGTCTGGTATGCCTACCATTTCCTTTTGGAGGATGTATAATGATAACAGTAACTTTTTCTTTCTTAAAACAATGATAATAAGAACAGTATTAACTTTTTAGACTTTCAAGTTTTCTAGCCACTTTGAGGGTAGTTTGTTTTTCCTGGGATGGCTTTCTGCAAAAGTTTTGGGGTTCTTTCTTATTGTATGCCCTTAATAATGGTACCCCTTCTGTCCCTATTTCTGAAGGATTCGGAGTACGAGGGTCATAGAACTTAATTTTTACTATTGGTATATGATTCTTCAAATAAATTAAAATAAAATTCGCATATTTGAAAAGCTCTGGGAAAGTACTAGAAGTCATCCTAGTTAATGATTCAGAATATTTTTTTTTGAGAAAATTATAATCAAAGAAAAGATTGTAACACCACACTTAAAATAGGAAGGATGGAGTACTAAAAGAAAAAGGAAAATAAGGAAGAAGAAATTTCATGCTCCTTAATGGTAAACACTATCCTGGGCAGGTGAGGGTGCACCTTATGGAGTCGACATTAATACTGGTGGCATTGCTGATTCATTTGCCAACTTTGTTTGGGAGCCAGCAGTCGTGAAGGTATATTTACATCCACTGTTCTTTTTTTTTATTTGATAAATTTAGTTTAGCTTGTTATTAATCAATCACTCATCTTTTCTCCTTTGTTTGATACCAAAGCGTCAGTTTTTCACAAGTTATTCTTGGTTCCTAAAAAGTATTACAAATTCTACTTTGTCCAGATAAATGCCATCAATGCAGCCACTGAAGCAGCATGCCTCATTCTGAGTGTAGATGAGACAGTGAAGAATCCTAAGGTAATTTCGTCGTTGTGAAACCCCAACTTCTCCCCAATTTGTCTACCATTATGGACATAATAGACAGTCACCCTTTGTTTTGCTTTTCTAGTCTTCAAGATACTATAAGTTACTTTAAAATATTTAACCAAAAACAATTTGACGAAATAGGTGGGAATGGGAAATAAAGGGGATAGAGAGAGAACTGAGATTAGCTAGTAGTGTACATGCAGAAAACTAGAGTTGTGATTTTCACCTCTCAGGGTGTGCCTTGTGCTGGCTGTTACCACTAGAATGTTGAAGAGTTGGTTTTAGAATGTTATTGTCGTATGAAGTTAGTCCATGTCTCCATGATAGGTTATATATAAAATATGGATTGTATCTCATCCCTGTAAATAGGTTTCATGTATTTTTTTCATCAATTTTCACCATCTTTTCTCCCTTTTATTTTCTCATATTTCCTTTTGAAACTCTTCTGCGAGACAGTTTGTCAGGAATGAAAAAACGATTCTGGTTAAGAAAGATAATTGTTATTATTGGAAATTTAAGAAATATAATTCTTTTTGTCAAAGAAAAAAAGAAGAGAAGAACATCGAGAATGGAGGTGAATGTGAAGAGGAAGCCTTGAAAATCCTATTGTACTCCCTACACAAACTAATATGAATTTTTAATTTGGTTTTCTATGGGTTGTGTAGGCAGAACATGGAGAGGCCAACCTAAACATTATATTCTGTTTAAGTTTTCCAAGTCTTGGAAAGTTTTGGTTTTAAAAAAATGTTTTCGGAAGTGTCTTGGAAAGTACAAAAGTTTTCAGATCTCAATTTGTGTTATCAAGTGCTTTTAGCAAAGGAAAGACTAAAGTTTATGAAACAGTGGGACAGGTAATTGTAGTTGTAAGAGGCGGGAGGGTGACAACTTTATAGTGATTGTTAATTGAAAAATGAAATCTAAGGGATTGTATGTACTCTTAAAATTTGGAGATTTTTTCGTCTTAGTGCATCTTTCGGCTGTATGCTTACGTAGGATCATTGCGTCCACAACATCAATGATTTCATTGGTTCAGCAAATCAATGTCATTTTGCTGCTGTTATTATCTTTTCAATCCTGCCTTGATTTCACTTCTTTTTAGCCGAGGGTCTGTTGGAAACAGCCTTTCTACCTTACAAAGATTGGGTTAAGGTCTGTGTATATCCTACCCTCCCCACACCTCACTTATGGGATTACATTGGGTATGTTGTTAACAAATCAACGTCACAACTGCCAAGGCATTGCAGGAATTTTACTGCCTCCCACTGTCGTACTCTTGAGTTGATAGTTGCTCAGCAAGAATTGCTGGAAGAAAATAACCCAGTAATGATGCGGTAGCTCTTCTGAATTTTGTTAATTAACAGTATAACTTAAGATCTTTGTGGCCAGGCCTTAGTGGTAAGGTTTGTTGCTACTATGCATTTTAGGGCTGTGTAGGTGTCAAGAATTTATCCCATTCCTCATGTTACCTTTATCAAAAAAGAATTTATCCCATTCCTTGTTCCTCTAACAAAGCAAAGTGGGGAAGGAAAAAATAATAGAGATGTGTATGGAGGGAAACTCTATATGGTGCCATTTAGCCTAAGCTGACAAAGTTATAGCAGTCTGGTCGCTCAATGTTGCAGTCTGAGCTGGATGAGAAGAGACCGTAATGTGCAAAGTTTTGGCAAGTTCTCCTATATCTCTTACCTTTTAATTTTGATAACTGCAAAATCCCTGAGGGCGAGTTGGCGCACTGTCCAAAACTCAGTGAATAATGTGCCCGTTTCTCTACGGTTCTCTTCTTAAATGCGAGGCTTTTGTTTGTAGCAGGGTTTGAAATCGCGACGTGCACCTAGCCCCCACACATCACACTGCTCTTGTGACTAGATCATAGCCTTGTGGGTTTCCTATGTCAATTTTCTTCCTTTTAGAACAGTAGCTAAGGTTCTAAAAAAGGCTGGTTTCTTTGAGGATACCGTCTCCTACTGTGGAGTGGAAAGCTATAACTTGAACTCTACCTCTGCTGTGCTCTAAGAATTTCTGAATCTAGAAAAGTCAGATTAGTTTAAGCTAGTCTTCTTCAAGCTGACCATGTGTATCTGCAGTTTTGGTGAAGTTCTGTGGATTCTTTAGGTTTGCTTATCTGGTTTCCTTTTTGCTTGTGTTGGATGAGTCCATCAAACTTGTTAGCATCCTTACAATGCGTGAAATAATTTCTATTTCCTTTCAAATTGCAGTCTGAGAGTGCACAAGGAGATGCTGCTGCAAGTGCCATGGGTGGTGGTAGAGGGCGTGGACGTGGACGTGGAATGAGGCGGCGATAGATTTCACAAGTTCTTTTGCAGATTTTGCTATGATTTTTATGTAGTGTTTGCTTTTTTTGCATTGTTTGCTCCTCCCTTCTGTAGTTCTAGTTGTCTCCCTCGATCAAAATGTTCAAATTTGGGCATGGATTCTCATATAGCAACCGAAAACAATCAAAACAGAGTTGTGTTAAGTTCAGGCAACATCCAGTGAACTAAATCATTTTTGCTGCTGTCAGTTGTGCAACGTACGAAGCCTGCCGTTGGATATATAATATTCTGTGTATTAAACTTCATCTTGTGTTGAAAAGTTCACAAATTTACGACATAAAACTTTTAATTTTGTGTCTATATATAAGAAATCAATGGAAAAAGAAGTCTTAGGATAAATAATTGATAAGTATAACAACATAGAAGTTTAAAGATATTTTCAGATCCAGCGAAAATATTTACCACAGACCCGTTTACTCTTTAGTAATACCTGTACACCAATATTTCCTCCGTTCCTTTTTAATTGTTATGTTGTGTTTTTTGAAAATCAATATGACTTGTATTCAAAGTCAAATTAGATTACATTAATTCAATATTTTAAACTAAAAATTTGGATATTCAAAAACTATATGAATAGTATTATAAATTGCAAATTTTTGCATATCAATACGATGAAAAAATATATTGTAAAATGTTAATCAAAATTTTTATTGTTTTGACTCTAAAAAAATAATCATGACTGCTAAAAAGGAACGGAGAGAGTATTAGAGCGAGTATCTGAGAATGGCACAAACATAGTGATACAAAATCCAACACATATTCCTTGGGCATAATACATAAATATACCCTTTAACTTGACTTCAAATCACATTTATGCCCTTCAACTTTGGGTGTGCACAAATAAACACTTAAACTTGTATAAAGTTGAACAAATAGACACACATATCCTACATGGCATCCTACATGGCATTTTTTGTCCTACGTGTATTATGCCACGTAGAACTCATGTGTCTACTTGTTCAAGTTTGTACAAGTTTAAGTGCCTACTTGTGTATACCTAAAGTTGAAGGGCATAAATGTGAAGTGATGTCAAGTTAAAAGACACATTTATGTATTATGCCTATTCATTGCTTTCTGAACTTTATAATACCTACAGAAATCAATTCTTTTGACAAGAAAGAATTTTATTGATACAAAAGCACAACTGAGCTTGTGCTGGATTTATGTACACGAACAAAACTTTTGAATCTGTTACAGAATGATCATACAACATCATATAGATTAAACCAGTTCCACTCGTTCACTAATATTTTCTATAAGCTGGTTTGCACTCAGCACTGCATTTTCAGGCGGAGTTCTACGTTTGATTAGCTGTCTTGGACTTCTACACGTCTGTAGTATATTTGACATTTCTTCAGCTTTTGCAATGATGGATTTTCTCTTTGAATGCGATGTGTCTCCATCTCTAATATATGTGTTGGGCAACTTCTCAGAGTAGGGTGTAGATACCATCGTGTTTCTAAGTTTTTCTGCCTTATCATTCATGCCTTGTTTTGCGAGATCATTGCAGAGTCTCTGATATGTGAGATACTGAGGAACTAGTCCTCTCCGAATCATGTCATGAAACCACTCGACAGCTTCATCAAATTGATGCATCTTGCAGAACAAATGTATAAGCATGGTACTTGTAGCCAAGTCCAAATCAAAACCCTTTGTCCTCATTTCTTGGATAATTTGCAATGCCAAATCCAATCTATCCTGCTCACATAGCATCTTAACCAGCAAATGGTATGTTAGCCGATCTGCTACGTATCCAGATTCAATTAACTTGGTGTAGAGGTTTAAGCCTTCTTCAATCTTCCCAAACTTGGAGAAGTACCGAAAGAAGTAATTATAAGTAGTTGGTGTTGGCATTAAACCTCTATTTATCATCATCTTAAGAATCTTACTTGCCCCAACAATATCCCCTGCCTTGCAAAAGCCCTTCACCAACGAATTGTAAGTTGATAGAGTCGGACCGGATTCCAACACTAACAGTCTCTCCATCATTCCTGATGCTTCCTTGAACCGTCCTGCTTCTCCTAATGCATCAATTACTGGATTGTAGACAACAGCATTGGGAGGAATTCCTTCCTCTTTCATTTCATCAATTAGTTCAATTGCCATCTCAACTCTTCGCATCCGGCACAATCCTTCAACAAGGGTACCATAAGTTACAACGCTAGGTTTTATGCCCTCCTTTTTCATCTCAGTCCACAACCGCTCAGCTTTCTTGAGCTTTCTTGATCGAAACCATCCATTTAGCAATATATTATAGACCCGAATAGATGGTGACCAATTTGAGTCTTGTCCTTTTCGCCTATAAAAATAATCTGAAGCTTCCCTAATAAGCCCCTCTTTGCATAAAGAATCTAATAGTATCTCAAATAAGTTGTCTTCCAAGCCCAAAGCATGTATCTCTAAATTAGAAGAAAATTCATATGTTCGAACAGCTGGTAAGAGGTTACCTGCAAAAAAAGAAAAAACTCGGGTCACATGTACTCTTCAGATAATTAGAACTTTCATGGATTGAATATAAATGGTGGGAACAAAAGAGAAAAAGGGAAAAATTTAGCCTAAGTACTGAATTCAATAAAAGCCATGTTAAAATAAGACAGTTTCCCTCTTGTTTTTACCTTATAACAGAAACAAATTACCATGTCGATATTAGGATGCAATCACATTATAGAACAAACTAATGCCTTTTACGGGTGATCCTGATAGGTAGTCCATTTATGGATTTCTAACAAGCAAAATACAACACATTGGACATCCTTGAATATCCAATAACTACTAATTGTGTAAGTTTAAACTAAAAAATAGAACAACATTTTGGCATAATGTACAAAAACAACTATTCCAAATCAAGTTCAAACACAGAACTTGTAGATTGTATTATGAAATCTAATATAAGGTTCTGAAGCTTTCAGCTTACTGACATCAGAACGTAATGAACTCGAGCGAACTACTTGCTAGGGATAAAATAAAGTTCAAAAACTCTATAACTTCATCTATTGCAAGAATGGCATAGCTGGTCTTATCGAATGGTTTAGTTAAACCTTAGAAGAGGTCTTGCCCCCATGAACTTGGTCTGGTGGTAAGATGCAAAACATGATGTGTGGGTTAGACGCATGTCATGGATTCATCCAAGACAAAACATGGTAATTAAGTTGAGAAGGATTGAGGGGCAGGCTGGTACGCCACTACCCTTGGGCATTTCTTGGTTATAAATGAAATAAATGTAGCTGGTATCAACAATGGATAAAGGCTGGGACTTTCCTAACTAGTTGAACTATAATAAATCCCCTGAATACTGAATTCGTTGAGATGGATTGACCTGAATAGAGCTAAATGGATAGTGGCGTCTAGGGAGGATAGAGTGACCTTATCCCCTACCTCAAAAGGTTAGACATGTTGTTTCCGATAGACCATTAATAGTCCAAAACAGAGCAGTGACTACAATAAAATAACATGGTAGTCGAAGTACAACAAACAATAGATAGTAACAAAAATCGATTAAATGTATTCATTCTCGAAAAAAACAAGCAGTACCTGCTCTTGCATATCGTCTAATCATTATGGCAAATGTGTCAAGATTGGGTCTTTCAGTAGAATTGAGTCTATCAAGTATCAAATTCCAAGCAGAATCAAATTCCCTTTCCTTGCCAAGGGCATTAACCACAGCATTAAACACAGGCAAAGAAAACTTAAACCACTCTTTCTTCTCAGCCCATAGGTAAAGGGTAAACAAAGGCTTAGGAGAAGAATCAAAATGGTTGAAAAGTTGAAGAAACATACACTCATTTACTTCAACCCCAGCTCTATCCAAAGCATTTTCAAGAACAGGGCCAGCTGGGATGATGGGGTCACGTAGAATCTCACATAGGGTGGTGAAATCAGTGGGACAGTAATTAGGGGTTTCGGGTTGTTGGGTTGAAGGAGGGGGTGAAAAGAGGGGGATGGGTTGTTTGGGTGGGTGGTTCAGCTTAGGCAATTTCATTAGGGGTTTTCCTCGCGTTGATTTCAGCCATGATTGGGTTGAGAAGAGCTTAGAAGTAGGGTTTTTGGTAGTGAGATGTGAGAGAAGAGAGGTTAGAGAGATAATGGAGTGGCGGATGTGGGCGGAGTTTAGAGCTCTCATTGCATTTGTTCGACAGAGTGATAATGGCGAATTGAGGTTTTTCTGGGGTTTATGCCCATGATTTGTCAAGTACAAAACTCTCCGGGGTACTTCTCTCAATTTGTGATAGTTTCCCACCTTGTTCTAGGGGTGGGCCGAAAAACCGAAAAACCGAAAAACCGAAAAACCGAAAAATCGAACCGAATCGAACGGTTCTTCGGTGTTTCGATTAGGTGTCGATTTTTTTTTTTTGGAACTTTGGTTCGGAGTTCGGTGTAAGGGTCCCGAAACTACGGTGCACCGAAGAACCGAAGTTTTATTAAATAAATTTAAAAGTATTTATTATATTACTTAATTTTAAACTTTACTTGGCCCATTTCAATTTTTATATTTAGATCCTAAACTTAAATAGCAAAAATCTTAATAACAAAATAGTAAACCCTAAAGACCTAAAGTCTAAACTAAACAAAACTCAATTTAATTCAAGTTTGAGTAGCAACTTGGTGTTTCTACTTTCTACTTTTTTAAATCATTTTATGTTGTTACTTTGAAGTGAGAACAACAAATTGATGTTCTTACCTTTTATTGTTAGATGGTTAGTTGTTACTTTGAAGTTTGAAGTGTGAAGTGAATAACAATTGTTACTTTATCATATTCTCTCTTTATTTTTGTTGACACCAAAAAACCGATTTTAAAACACCGAACTAAATCGAACCGAAGTAGAAAAAACCGAATCGAACCGATCTAGTTTGGTTTGAAATATGGTGCACACTTTTCTAAAACCGAATACCGAAGAACCGAACCAAAATTTGATTAAACCGAACTGAAGAACCGAACCAAAATTTGATTAAACCGAACTGAAGAACCAAACGCCCACCCCTACCTTGTTCGATGGTTGCTAGTTGCTACCCGTGCTATTGCATTGTTAGTTTAAAGGGTAAAAGATCAGATATGTCCCTAAACTATTCGAAAAGATTTAGATATACCCTCCGTTTAAAGTTTGGCTCACTCATGCCCTCGCCGTCCAACTTTTTGTCTAAATATGCCCTTATGGGCGTTAGTTGGCCTGCTGGACATATCCAACTCATTTTTCATTTCTTTAAATGTCACATGGAATTGCCATGTCATTTTGACTTTTCCACATGACATTTATATGAAAATGGAAAGGGATCAATTATGCCATTAAAAAATTCGAACCCATAAACACCTAATCCGACCCATAAATCAACCCCTATTTTTCTTGTAGGTTTATCATTCAAATTATGTAAATGTGACATTATGTAACGACAGAAAACGATACAATCTATCTAGACATTATATTCATTAAAATAATACAATACAATACTACACAATATAATACGATACATTATGAAATAATACGTAACAACCATCCAAATAAAATGTCAAATAGGGTTGTGCAAATACCAATTTAATGGATAAATTGAATATAATAAAATATTATTGATTTATTGATATTGAGTTATTTGGTTAGCGATTTTTAAATAGTTTTGTATTTTTTTTTGGGTTGTCGATTTGGCTTTCGGTTTTATGATTTTGGTTAAGGGTAATTGATAGAAATCTCACTAATTTAGGAGTTAATTAGTTAAATTGATGCTAGTTTGTAATATTATGAATCTTATCAGATTTTGGACTTCGGATACATGTATCTAGCTCATTCAGATACATGTATTTTTGATACATGTTGTCAAAATTAGGTCTAATTTGTTCTAGATATCCTATATTCAAGTAGACTCGCATGTATCTAACTATCTCGCTCGTATCTCTTTGTGTGTGTATCTGGTATATCCCAAATATATGTATCTAGTATCTACTGTGATTCACATGTATTTGAGATGCATAGACTATCTCGTTCGCCTCCCTGCTATCTCACTCGCCTCTCTCTTATCTAGCTCGCCTCTCTCCCTATACATGTATCTGGGTGTATTGTACTAATTCTCCTTATAGATTGAAATAATTACATATGGTCTCACTAATTAATTTTGTCTAATCAGGTAGATTTTTATTTAGTTAATTGTTAAACCGATAACCCAGTTAGATTATATCAAAATTACTATGTCACTCCTTATTATATAACAATGACTTTAACATTTTATTAGTCCCAGTTCCAAATTTTAGTATTACATTAGGTCATAGGCAACACAAACTAGTCTTTCTCCCTCTCTATTACGGCATCTTCTCTCTTCTCGACACAAGCTTTATTTTTGCTTATTCAGCCAAAGTTGGCTGTTATCTTACAATACCCTGACAATGAGGAGTTTGGAGGAAAGCCATGACCCGCATTAGATATTTAAGTTAATTGTTCAAAATAATTAAATTTTTGAAACTTTCTTTTATGGTTCAAAATAAGTTAATTGTTCAATGTTTAAGAAAATTGTTGAAAATTTCTTTCCGTTATGTCCTTCATTTACCTTTTCTAAGTGATAAGTTCAAGAGAGTTAATTATTCATATTCATGATTCTACTTTGAATTATTTCTATAAATAGTGTGAGAATAACTAAAAGGCCAAAAGTAGAAAGTGATGTTCACTTTATGTCCTAAATTTTCTTCTTAATAGATGTATATTGCCTCACAAATTTAATCAATACTTATTCCATATTAAATGAATTTTTGGGCCTTTTTTCACTAGTCAAATAATTGAATTGTTCAAAGTTGAAGATTGATGTCCATATTTGTCTTTTCCTTTAATGAAGTTTTATATTTTCTAATAGATAATATAATATAAATAAATAAATAAAGTATAAAATATAGAAGATATACTAAAATCGGTGTATTAATTTTTTTTTTAGAAACTTTAAAAAATTCGTAGGTTAAAAATGTGGGGAAAATCCTCTATTATTTATAGCCAACAAATGGTAGTATGAACATATGTTTGTTGTGCCCAGAAAAGTCACAATCATTCATAAAAGTAACGACCCTTTGAAAAGGTCACAACTCATCGAAAAAAGTCACAACTCTTTGAAAAAGTTATAACCCATCAAAAAAGTCACAACCCTTCAATGTGAAAAAAGTATTTGTTTTTATAAAAAATATACTAAATTGAGTATTTAAGTTGGGAGTATTACAATTATTTAACATTCAAGTTAGGAAATTCATGCTTTTAGGGTACTCCCTCCGTCGACTTTTAGTTGTCATGATTTTCTTTTTTAGAGTCAAATGATAAAAACTTTGACTAATATAATCTAATTTAACTTAAAAAATTAGTTAAATTGACTTTTGAAAAGTGCAACATGACAACAAAAAATAAACGGAGGGAGTAGTATAGAAAAAAAATTAGACAATTATATAATTTCCATCTATTAAAAGTAATATAAGGAAAACTTTAATACAGTTTCTTCTACTAGCACTATGAAAGGGAAAACAAAAAAACTTAGGAAGACGATTTGGTTTTGTTTCATTGGCTTCTACTAATCATTCTCCTCTCATTGCTCTTAAATCTTGTATCTTGACCCGCTATAAATAAATATCTTAATCATGAAACCAAATTTCTAACAATTTGTCCTCAAGTCGGAGTTAAAATCACCCACATACTTCTTTACAACTTGCTCCTTGACATATTTCTAACAAAGATGTTTTCACTTAATTGAATTCCAACAGTACTCAAATTGGTTGAGAAAAGGTTCTATATATATGTGTACGCAGGCAGACCTACAATATCTATCTTAGATTGTTTTCGATAAACTCTCGGCTTAAGAAAAATCGTCCAAAATAGTCTAGGAGAAAGGTAATAGATATACAAAAATATCATATAGTAGCAGGACAATAACTATAACAAAATAATATGATAGTCAAAAGTACAAGCAACCACAAATAGTGACAAAAACTGGAGGAGAAGAAACTATCTACCCTAATATGCGTCCTCCACAAAGGAATATACACCATGAATATAGTTTATACGAAAGTTTTTGGTGAGATACACTTAGGTTCAGACTATATCGAGTTATCTTAACGTTGGCAAACATGTCATAATTCAATGACCAACCCCTTTCACAAAAATATTTAATTTACCATATTCTTATATATATAGTTTTTTACTTAATTATTTATAAATATTAGATATTCTTTTACAAAAATATATACAATCCAACATGAAGCGATGACCAATTATCTTGACCACCTGAGCTGATAAGTACATGTAATGTACGTGATGAGAGACTAATAAATTAAAAAAAAAAAACAAATAAAGTGGTTAAGAGAGGATATTGAACAAATAAAATAAGACGGAAACAGTATCGTACAAGAACATAATTTTATATTAGTAATAAGGATTGTAAAATAAAAATTATCTTAAAGAATTTTGAAATTGTAAAATAAAATTATGTTAATAAGTGAATGATTCGTTATTCCAGTGAATGACTTATCATTCAAGTTATCAACCCTTTTAATAAATCACAACTTATTTAACTGCTTCTTATTTTATGGTAACTATTTGAATTTTATAGAGCTGTAAATTTCCATATATTAAAAGTAAATAAATAAGGAAATATTGAATATAACTACCACTATGACACGGAAAACGGAAAAAATTAGGAAACTAATGTCCTATATAACTCTACACTCACAAAAACACGCTCAAACTATTCCAAAAAAAAAGAAAAAACAGTCTGAAATTGTTCTGCAATGGCAAAAAATCAAGAAGCAGAGATTATGTGGAAGAGGGGTAGAACATTAGGGCAGGGAGGATTTGGTTTTGTTTCATTGGCTTCTACTACTCATTCTCCTCTCATTCCATCACTTATTGCTGTGAAGTCTTGTATGTTGAGCCATTCTCACTCTCTTGAAGATGAAACTGAGTTCCTAAGAATGTGTCAAGATTCTCCTCATGTTATTCGATCTTTCGGAGTTAAAGTCACCCAAGAAGATGATATACTTCTTTATAACTTGCTCTTAGAATATGCCTCTGCCGGGAGTCTTGCTGATCGTCTTCTCAATAATGATCAACTAGGGTTGCCTGAGTTTCAAGTACAAAAACACACCAAGAATGTTCTTTTAGGGCTGAGGTTCATTCACCGAAAAGGGATCATTCATTGTGATATAAAGCCACACAACATTCTTCTTACTTCTACTGATGATGATGATGATGATACAGAGGAGGTGGCAAAGATCGCTGATTTCGGGCTTTCGTTAACTTTGGAACAGAGCTGGACGCAGAAACAGGGGATGAGAGGAACTAAAAGGTACATGGCACCTGAATCCCTACTTAAACAGGAGTACGGCCCAGAAGTTGATATTTGGGCACTTGGATGTACTGTTTATGAGTTGATCACTGGGACACCACTATGGGAATCATCCAATGCAGATCCAAAGTTTGAAGATGTATTGGAACGAATTAAGTACGAGGAACCAAATTTGGAGAATGACAAACTGTCTACAGAGGCAAAAGATTTCTTGAGATATTGTCTGATCAAGAATCCAAAATCGCGTTGGAGTGCAGGGCTGCTATTGAATCACTCTTTTCTGAAATCAGCTGACAGTGTCCTGCCTCCAAAGAAGCGGAAGAGGCAACATGGTTACATGTCCAGTTTACAAAGGCCGCACCAAAAGAGAGCATTCAGGACACAGCCACACATTCGTCATTTGGTTATAGAACATTGATGCAGATTCTGAAGATGGAAACTCGATTTTTTAGATAGATTGACTATAGAACATTGACACTGTATTATTATATATGCTTATAGTTTATTAACACTCAGACAACTTGCTGTATGTAATTTTTGGCCATCATTGATGAGTGGCATAATTTTTTTATAATACGTGCCTCAATAAAAGGATTGGGGAATTCTATTCTATATCCTTGTTTAATTTCCAAATTCAAACTCTGTTTCCGATTCATGAATTATGTTTCTGCATCACATAGTAGTTAATACTCTTGTGTTGTTTCTAGTTGATATGTTTTTAGATGTTTCCATCTGTAAAACATGATTTATGTTTCCTACTTTTGGTAGCCCAAACTCTTCTTCGGACGTGCTTAAAAGTTGCCTAATGATCTCTTTTTCAAGATCAGCCAAAGGAATGACAAAGCGCCTCTAATCAGTTGTATATACTACAGATGGTCTTTTATATAGATAAACTGATAATGCAGCTTGTCCTTGATGATGAAAACGCTCGATTTTTTATACAAGAGGCTGGAGACCTGAGTTGGAGTTGAAGTCTTTGTCGCTAACCATCAAAGGCAAAGCCATGTGTTCATGCTTGTTGTCCGTCGTGCTGATAAGGGACCTTATATTTGAGGTAGATGCTAATGTAGCAGGATAAAGATGTCAAGTTTCTTCCTTCAAACTGCTCGATAACAGAATGGACACATCAGTTATCATATCAGGACTTCTCATTAATTAATAGTAGTTTGAATCCTTCAATGAAGAATTGATAACTCAGTGGTGTATTATGTTTTTTCTGGTAAAGAGCAAAATCATGTTATGCTTCCTGCAAAGAGAGTGTCATTTAGCAAAGAGAATGAAGCACTTCTTCCCTTTGCTGTGCACAATAACAACCAACAGGACCAAGTTAAAGTGGGATTAACTAATGAAGCTCTAAAATATAAAGAAGTTAGTATACGAAAAAACCAAGGTGATTCAATAGCTATTATATAAGCTTAAAAAACAATTTTAGATAATGTAATCTTTCGACAAACGAGATTGGATGAACACTTTCTGGTACACAAGCTCCACCCATGCACCTATCTTGCCAAATATAGTAGTAAAAAGTGCCTTAAGTCAGGTGATGTACCTCACTAAGCTATGATCAAAGCGATCACTCAGTTCAACTAGGAAGCACATAACAATTTTATCTACTAAAATATCACCCCTCTCTACCTAAGATCCCAACATCACAATTCTATTTTTGTCTAAATTGCAAAGTAAATGAGCCTCTAAATATTGTGTTTTATTAGTTATGTCATCGTGTATACATCATCATTAAAATTCTTCATTATCGAATGATATATTTTCTGCAAACTAGAAATAACATGTGCTAATTGATAGCCTTAGGTTGTGAAACACATCACTCATTCTTCTATTGAGAATAGACACGAACTCATCCAAGAGAGGCATATACTGGTCTGCCATGTGTAGTTTTTACAAATTTAGTTACATACATTTTAAAATTAATAATTTATTATAAAAAAATTACAGTAAGGTGGACAACTAATATGGAAAATAAACTACTTAGGTTGGTACATTATAGTTCCTCTGTTCTCCCAAGTATCCACCAGTTGCAACTGTTTCTTTTTTTATAGCGTCTTCTTCTCAGCTTCCATTCCACCGATGTAAAAGACCAATCCCCCATTAAAGCACAGTCATGCTCGTTCGTCGTATGGGTTATTTCTCACCTTCACTTTCTATAAAAACCTCACCTTTCTTCTCTCTTCTCACAAAAACCCCTTTTCCATTTCATCATCTTCGTCCTATCCACTTCTTCAAACCAATTCACACCAAATCCCCACAAACCCATCTCTTTTCCATGAACCGAAAAACCCATTTCACCACTTCCGCTGCTTTCCTTCAAGAATCCACAAACACAAAAACCTTGTCTAGCAGGTCGGCCAAGAAAGCCCGCCGTGACGCCCCTGAGAGTGTGCTACGTCATCAATTAGACCAGTGTTCTAAACGGGGTGATTTACAGGAAGCAATTCGACTCTATGAAGAAGCTAAGTTAAACAATATTACCCTTAATGTTCATCATTATAATGTGTTGCTTTATCTTTGTTCTTCTGGTTCGGGTACGGAGGGATTTGGGATTGAGAAAGGATTTCAGATTTTTAAACAGATGGGTGTTAATGGTGTTGCTCCGAATGAGGCGACGTTTACTAGTGCTGCTAGATTGGCAGTTGCTAAGCAAGACCCAGAAATGGCTTTTGATTTAGTGAAGAAAATGAAGAGTTTTGGTGTTCCTCCTAAGTTAAGATCATATGGGCCAGCGTTGTTTGGGTTTTGTGAAAAGGGAATGGCTGATAAGGCTTATGAAGTTGATGTACATATGGGAGAATCAGGGGTTGTGGCTGAGGAAGCAGAGCTTTCTGCACTGTTGAAAGTTAGTTCTTTTTCTAAAAAGGCTGATAAAGTATATGAAATGATGCATAGATTAAGGGCAAGTGTAAGGCAGGTGTGTGAAGAGACTGCTGGTGTAGTAGAGGATTGGTTTAATTCTGAATTTGCTGCTGAGGTTGGGCTGCAGGATTGGGATGTTCGGAAAGTGAAGGAAGGTGTTGTGAAAGGAGGGGGTGGTTGGCATGGACAAGGGTGGTTGGGAAAGGGGAATTGGACTGTAGTGAGAGCGGAGATGGATAGTTCCGGAGCTTGTCGTTCATGTGGGGAAAAGCTTGTGTGCATTGACATTGATCCCAAGGAGACAGAGAACTTTGCTAATTCTTTGGTTAAATTGGCTTGTGAAAGAGAAGTTAAGGCTAATTTTGTGCAATTTCAGGTTGGATGATTTTCTTCTGGTGCATTTTATAAATTACTTGTTACCTCAAGTTTTACCCTTCTTCTTGGACTAAATGGTAGAATTGTATACATTTCTAAGATTGTTGCGTCCAGTTGACTAAAGTGTTGATTAATTGTTTGAGTACTTGCCAGTATATCCTACATGGTTCATTGTATTAGTGATTTTAGAAGTCTCTTTTTTGTTTTGATGAAGTAATTGGCTTCATTAGTGGCATTAAAAAGATACAAAATAATTACAAAATATAGAAGCAATGCTGATGATAGTGACTGAGGGCTCACATGTTGTCTGCTTTGATGAACTCCAAGGATTTTTGGTAGAAAGCCATTGTGTATCCATCAGGTCTTGTATAGCTGCTAACACTTTAGAAGTTTCAAATGTCTAACACTTGATTGCATTAAGCTTCTTCGCCTTATGGATGGCTTTGCCATAAAGTTTAGATTTGTACCCTTGCTGCTGCCATCTCAAAATCCAAGCACTAAAGTTAAATCAACCCCATCCAATAAGATAAATGAAATAATAGGGTACTCTGATTAGATCTACTATAATTGTAGATTATAGGTTGAAATTTCCTTATAGGATTTAGATGAAGGCCTCTATGATTTTTTTGATGAATTAATAAGATTTTGTTGTACATTTGGGCGAAAACCCGTGAAGTAGTAGTACACCAAGATAAGTAGAAAATCTACAATAAAGTATGATTTTCTACAAATGTCACCCAATTATCTATACATAAAGGAAATTTGTGGGTGCACGAATAAGGGCAAAGAGGCTATTCCTCAACTGTGCAAAATCACTCTCTACACCCTCAAAAGCTCCACTATTTCTTTCTCTCCAGACGACCCACATAAGTGTGAGTGGGGCAACTTTCCGGGCCCTATTTCTTCTCCTCTGCTTTCACAGTTCTAGGTAACTCAAGTTCTTTCAAAATGCCAGGCATAACCCACTGAAGGCCTCTATGATATGTCAGATCTAGTGATAGGTTATGCAGTGTTGGATGCAAACAATGAAATAGTATCATGGTGTTCAGATGTTGTAACGCCAAGAAATAGCTTGTCTGTTTGTTTATGTCAGCCTCTTAGCTAGAATTAGCATTTAACACACTTATGTGTAGTGATTTCTTTAAAGCATGAATCTTCTGAAGGATTGTTACCACAAATATATTCATTTAAAAAGTAGATAGAACTGCTGGGTATTTCCAATATTTGTGTCTCCATGCTTCCGGCACTTAGTTCTTGAAAGAATATTGAACTGATTTAGAATTTGCACTCACTTAGGACTGGCTTCAGAAGCATGGTCCATTCGATGCTGTGGTGGATGGTGCAAATGTCGGCCTTATCACTCAACGAAATTTTAATTTCTCTCAGGTAACACTACGTCTTTTTCTGTTTCTTTACTTATGTTTTTTGGGGGTTGTGGATGGGAGTGTAGAATTAGGGATGCAGTTTGATATCTGTATAGAAGCTAATCATATGTACATTTCAGCTGTAGAGAGGTGGACTTACTTACCGTCCCTCTTATCTCGTGTTATATTTAGTATGACCAAGAACTATTTGACTTACTCTGCATCCCTCTTCTCGTGTTATTTAGTATGACTAAGAAAGAGAGAGCAACACAGAATTACTGCCCCTTTCAGTTTAACTTTAAAGAAATTGATGATGCTGATGTGGAAAAGGTTGCAAAGTCTTCCAGTTTTAATTTATCAAAATGACCCTTATGCCCAGTTCCTTCCCACCCACCCAGGCACCCACAGTCTAGTATGGATACTTTACCTCTTAACTCATGATGGGCAACATGCCAACTTTCTCAAGATGGTGTTCTAGATTATAAGAAAAAGTTCATATAGATTTCTTTCTATTGCAGCTCAGATCTGTTGTTAATAAATTAAGGCAGATGAGTGAATCGAAGAAACTTCCATTGGTTATTTTGCACAAAAGTCGTACAACTGGTGGTCCTGCTCAACATCCTAATAACAAGAAGTTGTTAGAAAGCTGGAAGAAAGCAGGTGCACTTTATGCCACTCCACATGGTTCAAATGATGATTGGTAATACTCTTTACTTTGAGCTCTTATATGCAAATCATTATTGATGGCTAGTAGTTAGGTGAACTTATTTGTTTCCAGGAGAGCAAAACTCAAATATAATTAAATTTTATGGGACAAAAATCATCCTATTTAAACAGATGCCATCAACATAATAGTGATGTTGCTCAGCAAATTACTGAACATACCAAGAAACCCTTCTATAATTGGATCTGGTGGTATATCCATATCTCGTTTCTTGATTAGCCTTGCTTTCTTACTGTTACTGCTAGTGTTCCCCAGCTGTTTGAGTCCACATTTCTGCTGACATTTCTTTCTTTCCTGTAACTGTTAGCCTGTTCTTTTTCTGTGTCCTTCCATTTAATTCTTTCTTCTTTGTTGGGACCAAAAGTCGCTCCTGCACACTTTTCTGCTTCTCTATTTGACTGCCTGGTTGTCATCAACATTCATCCTCTATTCAAGAGCAAATTCTTCTTCTCCACATTGCTCAACGCACAGATTTTTTTTTTTTGGGATCAACACACATAACTTCAACTCATCATGACATGGAGATCTGACATTGAACGTGAAACAATTGCTTCATCTTTCCCTACTTTGCACGAAATTCTGACTTGGCACCAGATGCAAATTCTAGGTTGTACCAGACTCCCTTAATATAGCCAATGTAGCTCTTGTGCGTTGGTTTTTGTTTTGTGAGTGCTTTCATATTATGACCTTTAGTTCTGAAGATAGAGGCTACTTCACATGATAAAAGGGTTTGCTAGAGTTGTGGGTAACCTTGTAACAAAATAAAGGAGCTCTCTTTTCTGCAGTTACAAATGTCTGAGGCATAAGCTTATTCTCCAGGTACTGGTTATATGCTGCTGTCAGTTCCAAAGGCTTGCTTTTGACAAATGATGAGATGAGAGACCATTTGTTCCAACTATTAGGCACTAGCTTTTTTCCCAGATGGAAGGAAAAACATCAGGTCTAATCTCTCTCTCTCTCTCTCTCTATTTCAATATTTTGACAAATTCTGTAACATGTTAAACAATGAAAAGTTGAAATCTTTATTACAGTGCTATAGAGTTCTCTTTCACACTTTCTACTAAAGATGGAGTAAAAAAAGGTATACTCTTTTTAGTGTATAGTAGCTTAATATCTGCTATAAGTAGGTTATGCCAGAATAAAAAAGAAGAAGAAAGACAGTTATGCCGAGGAAAAGTTGAAGTCCTGTTACACTGTTCCTATTAATGCCCATGATTATTTCAAATTACCAAAATTCTTCATTATAGCTGGTTGTCAAAGAATGAAAGATAGGTGCTGGGTTGTGAGAATTGAAGTTCTCCTAAAGAACTCGTCTGATGGAGCTGGAAGATTTTATGTTATTGGGGTTAATGTGATGCTTTTAAATCAGGCAATCAGCAGTTAGATTCCTTAACTGTCTTCTATTTAAAAATCACAGATCCGGATGACAGCTTCAAGAGATGACGGACTTAAGCTCCATATGCCACCACCCTATTCAATTGTTATTCAGGTGAGCTATCTCATGCCTAATCCATATAAGTTAAGCTCAGCTTAGCTGTTATTCTAATGTCCAACTCCACTTTGTACTTGTGAAATTGAAATATAGGAGTCGGAGCAGGGTTGTTGGCATGTGCCAACTCTTACTGGAGATGACCTTGAGATACCAAGACAGTGGCTATGTGCTACCAGGAAAAAAGCTCTGCACTCTCTATTTCGACGAAATGGGGAATCAAATCATTAACATAAATATGTGGTTTCTGGGACAGCATCAGTGAAGCAACTATGTATGAGTGCCTTTTTCCTTTGAAGAAGCTTATAATTTGAACTTCTCAAAGGTTGTTGTAGATGGAGATCAGGAAGATCGCTAAATGCAAAAGTTCTGGATACAGTCAACATCTATATAACAGTCTAGTTTCATTATCTTGTATACTAGTTTTTGCTTCTGTGTTCTGGAGTATTTCTGTATTTGGTCAAATTTTTTGCAACAATTTTTCCTGTTACAAGTGTTAGAAGGAAAAAGTGCTGCCACAATAGAAGAATGGCGCCTTTGAAACTCAAAGAGGATATTCCTGCATTTTTAATACTTAATTGGCTGGTCCCTGAGTACAAGAAGAAAAACAGCTTATGAAGTTCAAATTATTTTCCTTTGAATAGAAAGATCTATTTGATCAGTTGAACAATTTGGCTAGAGTTTGATTATCAGTATTGTCTCCTCAGAGAATTTCTGTGTATAGTTTTTTATTGCAGGAATCAAATTCTTCAAAGAACACCAGGAATATGGTTTCAATTGATTTAATGACAATGGGATTGGAAGCTCTGCATACACCGTTGGTTCCAAGAAGTTGGACAACTGTTGGGGTATATTTCCCAATTTGCAAGCCGAGCTGCAGTTTGACATCTCACTTTTATTCATTAACACACACACACACCCCAAATCCAAACTCCTCCATGACTACATATTACCCCTCTTTGGTGCTCCTAGTTCCAGTATCTTAATAATCTGGATAAAGTATAAACTCATCTAATTCTGTGTATAGTCAATTTTCTTATTAGACTTTGTATTACTTTAGTTAGGTGGTTTCCTGCCAAAAGCACAATCTGGAGATTGATAGGCAGAGGCAGATCAGATCTGGAGGTCGAACTAGCTTGAGGAGCAAATGCCAACTGCACCTCACTCTCTTGAAGAAGTATGTTTTCTGTTAATATATCCCAATTCTAATAGATATCATATCAATATACAATGTTGGAGCTGAAAGCAATCCAAACCCCCACTACATATACACTGTGTTTGCCCCTGTCGACATATATACTTGTTTTGTGCATGCATTCCTTATTGTTCTCTTGAATTTATCTTTTTTTTTCTTCAATATGGATGGCTAACAATGACAAGGGGAAGTATTGGAAACAATGCATAAAGTTCTCTTGGCTATCCAGAGGATTTCAAAGGGAGGGAGATCCATCTTCTACATTTAGCCAACTTTAGGAAAACTAGTATGCATATGATATGTTATAATTGAAAGTAATTTGCGTACTCCCTCTTCGAATAAGACAAAAGCAATAGAGACAGGTTCTCATGTAGCTGCAATAATTTTTTTTTATGTGCACATGACATTTCTCAACTTATGACATCATCATCAGCCAAAACTAGGATCATCAGGATATGTAAGACTTTAGCTTTGACTAGTTAGGTCTGAATCTCACTAGTCAAAAACTAATTTCAAGGGGTTAACATACTAACAAATGCTGAGGATTTTATATAACCTGCAATTTAAAATGTGATTTTGCGGAGTTACATCCAAGTTTCCTAGGTAGATTCGTAGTTTATGTTGTGACATGGGTACCTAACATAACAATAACAATAATCCACTTTTCAGTAAGTCAGGATTCAAAAAAAAGAAGTCAGGATTCTAAACAAAAATTTCAGGGTTCTTGGGAAAATATTACATTTTCAAAAAGCCACTTTTGATCAAGGGTTCTTGTTGAGATGCTTGAGGGTCTTTGGTAGTGACTATGAAAGGAACCATTCATAGTAGCTATAACTGAATATTCCTGGTTCGATAATGTCGCAGTTGATCAAATCAGTGTCTTCTGAAAATCCAATAACTATTAAGCAGCATGTTAGGAGGAGCCCTTTTTATGCTTTGTTTCAGTCTATTTTTGGTCCCTTGAGGACTCTATTCTTTACATTGAGTCCTCTTTAGCTTCCGCTTCTTCAATAAGAAAGATCAATGTCTGATCTTCATGCCATGATCAATGAGGACCCACAAATAGACTTTATGATCTTCAATGTCAGATCTTCACACCATTATCAATGTGTTTCTCACTCTACTTTTCAGGTTATCATATCATGCTTGATATGAGTTACACTTTGTCATGAGTCAGTTTAACCTGATAGTGCTCAGAACATGAACTCAAATAAATTTTTTTCCATCTTTTACAAGCACATCGTGGCAGAATAATTTGAACAAAATAATGCTCTACTGAAACTTCTTAAAGGAGCTTTAAGGCATACTGATTTGCATTATCCAAGTCCATTTCAGCAGGGATTACAGGTGTGAGAAGTTAAGATAGGGTTAAAACAGATTGCAAAGAGCAGAGATGCTGATTGATTATAGTAGAAAGGAGCAATGTTGGGAGAAACGTTGATTTTAGAGATATTTGTAATAACCTGGTTCACAGTACTACCAGGTTATTTGGTGAAGGTCTCTTTCGCAATGGCATAGTCCAGACAAGGCAATATCCCATCTAAAGCTGTGTGAGCAGTGGGGTTTTGACTCCATTGCTACACAAGTGTATGTAGTCGTGCTGAAATGCACAGATAATTAAGAACAATTAGAGATGTTTCACATACTGGATATGATAAAAAGATAGATTAAAAGTAAGAATATTAGAGGTACCTTGAAAGGAAGTCTACATTGGGTTTTTGTGTTGTTGGAAGTAAGACTATACAACAACATACCCAGTGTAATCCCGCAGGTGAGGTCTCTAGACCTTAGTCCTTACCCCTAGCTCGTGGGGGTAGAGATGTTATTTTCGAGAGACCCTTGTCTCAAATAACTTGAAAGTAAGACTATGAATGTCATATTTGATGTGATCCTCCAAAGTTACTTTGAGAAACAAGTTGTACATGACCTTTTTCTCTATTTATGGTTTAGTTGTAGAATATGCAACTTCTTTTGTATCCAACATTATGTTAGAAGTTCTAACTCTGCTTTATCCTGCTTTAGGAGAAGCTGTATCCATAGAGGAGTTGCTTGCCTAATGCGAGAAGAGATCTCAGTAAGAGTAATGAAACAACATCATCAGTGAAATACTTGCCAAGAGCAGCTTACTTGTGAGTTGTGGAGAACAAGAAATATGCCACATAAATATAATGCCCCAGTGATGAGAATCCACCAAAAAATCTAACTTGCTTATTACCACCAGTGAAATTTGGCAAGCAAGAGTAACTCACAAAAATGAATCATCTTAGATTTACTTCACAAATCATACAGCTCTGAAAAAGTAGCAAACTGTAACTTATTTGATCACACAACAACAAAAGTTTAGTTCATAGCTTAAATCATGAGAAACTTTCTGTAACATTATCTCCGGTCCATTTTCATTGTCGTCCTTGCTAAAAATAGATGATTCAAAATACTATGTCTCATAAAAATTGCCTCAAAATGTCACCTTAGAAATTCAAAATAATGCATTTTCAACTATACCCTTGTATTAGAGAATTACTTCCTCCATTACAAAATAGTACTTGTTACAATTTCCTTCTTGAGAATCAAACTATATGAATATTGACCAACATTTTAATTGGAAAAAAAAAATGCAATTTTGTAGTATTTTCATATGGTTTTTGAGTATTTTAATTTTAATTTTAAAAAATCAAATTAATTTATTCTAATTTAGCTATGAAAATTAGCCAAATCATAAAATGAAATATGACATTTGCATGAAATGAAGTTATTAAGTGACCTGGCAGAAGGCAGACCTCATCCCAAACGGATAAAAGAATCCCATAGTAATAATAATATCCACTCCCATAAGGCATTGGCGTTTCTCCACACAACACCAGAGAAAAAAAACAGAAATGGCGCTGAAGCCATTGTCTTCCATATTCCCAAATTCAACAAATCCACCATTAACACCTGCAAAACCCCATCATCAAAACATAGGGCTATCAAGAAGAGATTTCATCAATGTTGGTCTTTCTGTAATGCCACTGCTCATATCCCCTACTCCGTCTTCCATTGCTCGAGAAGTTGAAGTTGGTTCTTTCTTGCCTCCATCTCCTACTGATCCTAATTTTGTTCTCTTTAAAGCCACTCCGAAAGACACTCCTGCTCTTCGTGCCGGTATTATGTCGACCACTCTTCATTCTTATTATCTTTCCTAAACTGGAAAATAACTGTTTTGTTCATTTGATTTTTGGGTAATTCTGTTTAGTTTCATATAGTTTATACCGAATTACTTTGTTTGCTCCAGAGTCGGGAAAACTCGTAGTTTGCTAGAAGCTTCTGCAAAGCAATATCCTCATAACAAACTCATTAAACTGAAAGAATATTGATTGTATTAGAGCTAGAAGCTTAGGCAAAGTTATGTGGATCCAGAAACAATATAGTAGCTTTTAAATTGGACACAAGACTAATTACTTTGATAGGTTACCTCTTAGGCAGTGAAAAATCCAAGATTTTCGCTTAGGGGGTTCGAAAATTGAATTTGGAAGCTCAAGGGAAATTTTGAATCCCTAAACCACTGGGCCAACCTCTTGTCTTGTGTTTAGGAGATTCAAAATTTATATAATCGCCAAGGGGGTTCTGATGAGCAACTCTGCCTCCCTAAATCTGCCCCTGCTCTTAGGTGCCTAGTTACCCGTATTCTGGAACTTGCCTATTTTAAATCCCAAGCCTAAAATGAGTTAGTACTTGTATTCTCATTACTTCTTAGGAATTTATCATCTCAAAAACAAGTTCCAAGATCCTTTGAGAAAATAGATTGTAGTCGGAAAGAAAAACTCATCTCTACTTGGTTTAGGATTCAGATCTAAAATAGGCAAGCAACACAATGTCTGTGTGAAACTTGTGTAGAACCTAAGATATGATAACAGATTGACAGGTAGGGGCCATGTTATAATGCATTTGCTGGTATTATGCAACATTTGGTCAAGGCATCCTAGTCCATGCAACCTTGCATTTGTTGCTGAACAAGTTTTTGTTTGAGTAAAATATTCTGCCATTTGATGTTTCTATAGTTTTCGGATTATTAAATGCTGTTGGCAGTTACGTTGGATAAATTAGTAAGTATCTCTTTTGAGGTGCGGACCTCGTCCTTGCTGAGAAATGAGCAAGCCTCAATCATAATGTTCTCTTAATTGGCACTTCATTTCCAATCAAGTGATGCCAATTTCTTAGTTATAACATTGTTTCTATCTTCTTCTTCTTCTTCTTTTTAGTTTATTTCATATCTTCTTGATATGCTTATGAAGGTTACCATTTACATAAAATTGGTGTTTCCGTTTTCTACTTTTGTTTCTCCTGTAGATTGCTTATGATGCTTTATATTTAGTTTCTTGCAGGAAATGTGCAGCCTTACACATTTATTCTTCCTCCAACCTGGAAACAACTTCGTATAGCTAATATATTATCTGGAAATTATTGCCAACCCAAGTGTGCAGAGCCGTGGGTGGAGGTGAAGTTTGAAGATGAAAAACAGGGTAAAGTTCAAGTGGTGGCTTCTCCTTTGATCCGTCTCACTAACAAACCTAATGCAACTATTGAAGACATTGGGACCCCTGAGAAAGTCATTGCTTCTCTTGGCCCTTTTGTCACAGGAAACACTCTCGATCCAGATGAACTCCTTGAGACTTCTATAGAGAAACGTGGTGATCTAACGGTGATAGTCATTTTCTTTTTCTCAGTCATTTATCATATTGAAAAATTCATCTTTTCCCCCTTATCTTCATCCCTTATTCCCAACACATAGAGGACTGGCATGGCTAGCAACCTTTGTCTCTGTTGGTTTACTCCCAAGTCCTAAGCTATACTGAAACATGGAAGGAAATGAGTTGCTTAGTTGATACTCGATACCTTAAAATCTCAGCAGGGAAAATGACATGAAGATATCCATAGGTTGTATCTGCTTCCCTGACAATATGTAACAGCCTGATTTAGCAAATGTTAGGAGCAGCATAGTTATGTTTTTCCTGGAAAAAAAATCAGAATCTGGTTCTACGATAATGATTTCTCTGTTAGTGTGCTTTTATGAGGGACATGTTTGTTAGATCTGCCAAAATAGCATGCTCCTGTGTGTACCTATGTATTCCATAGAACAATGTATTTCTATACTCTTGGTCTTCCTGTTATCCGCAACAGTTCCTCTTTAAATCTCCTGACGAAGAGAATGCTTCTATCTTTGTGTTTGCAGTATTACAAGTACGTTCTTGAAACTCCATATGCTCTTACTGGATCGCACAACCTAGCAAAGGCAACAGCTAAGGGAAATACAGTTGTCCTCTGTGTGGTCAGTGCCAATGACAAGCAGTGGGCATCATCACAGAAAACTCTACAGGCTATTCTTGATTCCTTTGAAGTGTAGTTCCTTCCCCTCTTGTCTTAATTTAGATGAACCGTCTTCATTTTCACTGTGTGTTCCCTTACATAGAGCGTCATAGGATGAATGCCCTGAAATGATTTTTGTAACGCAATAAACAAGAATTGCTTCTGTCGAATCCAGATTATATTGTTGTTTTTATTGTATCCCCTTTTCAATTGTATCATATCAAGACGTATTCCATCCCCCTTTCAATTGTATCATATCAAGACAAATGCACGAGTACTCTACTGTAAACTACTGTTTTTGTTCACATGGATTTTGGAAAGGCCGGTTGTATTTATGTACAAGCTAAAGTTTTTTGAAAAACGAATATATTTGGTCACTTTCACCGTCACAATGTTTTGGAGCTTCTAATTGCAATTTCCTCATGTTAACTTAGAGAGGTAAACAATGTGAACACCAAATAAAGAGTAAACACAAAAATGTGTTCATACATATATCATCTTTTAATCTCTGGTTTCTAGTTAGCTAAAAAAATAAATATTCCTCCTTGATGTTATTGTAACAAAAGAATAAGCTCAGCTAATGTATAAACGCCTAATCAATAAATAAATTAAATTATTTCCCTTTATTCTAACTTCATATAACCACCCTTTCTGCATTTAAAAGGTCAGTGTCTTTTGGAGGTATTTTGTCCTATTATTCCTTTTAAGTTGGGGGAGATTATTATAATATTAGGAAAATATATAATAATATATCTATTCAGACACAAGTCAAAAGTAAATCTCATAGGTGAACATATGGAACTAAATTAAGATCTCAAATTGACATTTTGATATATCAATTTATCATAATAATAAAAAAAGTCAACAATGACTCTCCGATGAAAAGGGTCCCCCTTCTTGCTTGATAATAGTGAGCCTTGAACTTTACTTTATTATATAAAAAAATATTAATTTGCAAAAGAAAAAACTTTTTCTATCAGTAAAAAAGTAAAATTACAAATTATAAATATAATTTTCTTTAAACTTCGAATCAAAATCAAAGTAAAACTATATTCTATAAATTGAAACAAACATAATATGTCATATTTTAACAAATAGTTTCAATAATTGAAAGTGCGTAGAAAGAAAGCAGTGAAGTGAACATCCTGCTACTTTTTTTTAAGTTTTGACAGAACTCCTACTCATCTCCAAATAGAATTAGACAAGGAACCACGGGTTGCGGACTGTCCATTCGGAATCGAATTCGGATTCGGATTCGGAGATCGGTGATGGCTACCGCCGGTAAACCCGCATCGTCGTCAGCACCCAAGCCTTTCGATTTCTCCGACGATTCAGTTCCTAAGAGAGTCGTTCTGTCGATTGATCAGCAGCGTTGTTGCTTGGAAGCACTCGAAGTCTTCAAGGACAAGAGGTTTTCTTCTCCCGAAAAAATCCGCCAAGAGTTCATGACTTTGCAGGTCCTTTTGCATTATACTCTCTTTCTTTCTCAAATTTATTGTTATTTAATGTTGTGCATTTTGATAAAAGAGGAGGATATTTGTTCAATTGGTCAATTTTTTTGAAAAATATTTTCTCTGCAAAAACAAGTTACTCAAAGAACAATGAAAATGACTTCCCAAAACAGGTTCTACAAGTAGCATTTCATATTTGATTGTATCCTCCCAAACCTCCAACACACCTCATCTTTACCTCCAACTCCCATAGTATTTCTCTATATTATATACAAATGCTTTTAGTATAGTATATTTTGCTAAGTACTATACACAAGAAAAGAAGTTACAAATCCACTTATTTCCTGGAAAACTATTTCCTTCACACACACCCGAAATGTTGAATTTGGGATGTATGAGATGGATCCAAATAGAGAGATGGATATAAAGTATTCATACTCCAAGTTCAACTAGTTAGGGAATATGGTGGAGTTGATTGAAGTGTGGTGATTATTTGAGTTTTAGTTGGATATTCAGAGTCATATTATCATATATTAATTAAAAAAACCAAGTCTTTTTATGCTAAGAATGAATTGCTGTCGTCATTGGACTTCTCAACGTTTCTTCTTCGCATAGGTGGTTCCATTCTTGGACAAATTGCGGTAGTTTGAATGCTTCAAACAGCAAATTCATTGGAACATATTAAATGGTTCATATTAATCAAGATGTATATAGAGGATTTATGTTACGGACTCCTGGTAATTTAGGATTAAGATGTAGTTGATAAATTGACTGATTGAAGTGTTGGGAAATTGTTTGAGTTCTAGTTGAATTTTTACTGTCATACTATTTTGAAAAGGGAAAATCACTTACTCCTTATAGGATGACTGCCAACCTTAACTAGGTGATAACATCATGAAGGCTCTAGGCATTTAATTCGTTACGTCATATGAAATAGGCTTAAGTCAATTGATATTGAGCTGACTACTAGTAGTTAGGGATCGAGAAGTAGTTAACCGGTTGTTTGATTGATTGAAAGTTTTGGGTGATATTGATGACTTGATAAATACCAGACACATCAATTTATTCACTTCAAACACAATACACATGAACTTTTTCCAAAGTGGGACAATAACTAACTTAAAAACTTAGCGCTTCTAATATTCTGACATATGCTATTTTAAAACTTTTCCTACTGTGTTCAATCACAATTTTAGGCTCTTAGCAATTAACATGTGTCGTAGTATGTTTTACAAGATTCTACATTCTATACCGTATCGCTAGCCTTTCCTCTCTGAGTTTGTACATCTTTTCACTACAAATAGTGTCTCTCTGAGATATAGCTTCTTTTTTTTTTTTTTGATTGGTAAAAGTAATTTGATTCAGCAAAATGCTCTTTCTGAGATAGAATTTCTGCAACATTCTTTCCCTCATTTCACTTATCCTGTGCTAATATGATAATCCAAAAAACCCTTCGGGGTGGCCCAGTGGTTTGGGATTGAAACTTCCATGTTGGAGGTCTCAATAGTTCGAAACCCCTTTCCAGCGAAAGCAAGGGGTTTGCCTTTTGGGTCGAGCTCGTCGCACTGGGCTTGCCTAGTGCAGGTTACCTCTCCTATGTGGTTTGCCAGCTATTGCATAGGAGCAGGTGTTTTACCTTGTGCAAGGGTAGCAGCTGCGGGTTTCCCTTGTCATAAAAAAATGATAATCCAAAAGTTGTTGCGTCTCATTTAACATTCTTTATGTTTCTTGTAGGAAATCATGCTTAGAAGATTAGAGTTAGAATTTGTTTCCACGTCAAAAAAGGACTAGTTTTTTTCTTTTCAAAGAGTAATTATTTGTTGATTTCTCCCCAAACCCCACTTTGGGATTACACTGGGTATGTTGTTGTATTGGAAAGCTCCCAGTATACTAGGGTATAGGAGAAGTAAAGAAGTTCTGCAAAGATATGGTTCTCTATGAACAACATCTAGTTAGTATAACTCTATACTACCATAAGTTTTATGTTCTCTCTTAAAGTTTACTAGAAACAACATATTTGCCTTAATTTGAGTGAGAATGCCTTTTTATCTGTAATTTGTATAACAGAAATATTCTCCCCTCAAAAACTCCATTCCTTTCTCTCCTATTACCCACATTAGGACAGAGCAGGTTACATCTGTGCTCTCTATCTTCGTTTCTTTCTTCTAAAGCTCCAACTGAACATGAACGCCAAAGGGATTCAGTACTACCCACCATAATCAACTTTCTAATGGGCAATGCGTGAGCAAGTGATCCACATCTGCACAGGATTGTTTACACATATAGCACCAGCTACTGTGTCCTAACTTCCGTTTACTCAAGTTCTCTGCAGTAAGGATGACTACCCTTGCTGTTGCTGGAATACATACCTTCATCAGAGCTCTAGGAATCCAGATTGAGATGTGTGGGAAGATTATGTCTTTTCTTTTTAGTAGTCTGTGGTAGGAGTACTTAAGTCCAAAAATTCCTTATGCTTGCCCATTCCATAACGAAGAATTCTGACCTGTTGGTGTGATGTTTTTCTTTTAAAGTAGTTCCAATAGGTTGTGGAACTCAACTATCTCCCAAAGCTATAGGTTTCTTCTAATGATCAAGTTGCTTAGTTTTGTCATTACATTTCAGAGAGTAATATTGTTACTTTCTTGAGATACGGAATATATTAGGAAGGCCTTGCTCAAAGTATCAACTCTTTTTTTTTTTTTTTTAACCGTGGTTTCCGGGCGTCGCTTTGCGAACCCGACTAGCTGTACCCACCGGGTCCCGCTGTTTCAAGGCGGGTCCACCACGGTTAGTTCCACGGGGCCCTGGAGACGCGGCCGGTTTGTAATGCCTCCAGTGGCCCTGCTGGGGCTCGAACCGGCGACCTGAAGGACTTTGTCCCAGGCCTTTACCAGCTGAGCTACCCCTCAGGGTTAAAGTATCAACTCCAAAGAGCAAAAATGGAGTCATATTGGGAGTTAGGTGGTCTTAACTCTTAAGTGTTTATATGAAGCAAAATAACACCTTTCAATAGTTTTAGGAAAATATTGAGCAGCTTATTTGATGCTTGAGTTCATTTATGTATTGTTTCCCGCTCTCATTTAACTCTAGTTATCCAAAAAAAAATCCGACCATCTTTTTTATGATGTTTCGGGTGGATGCTGGTGGTGGTGGCTCCACTTAAAATGAGCTAAATTTATGTCATAGGACAGCTCTCTTATGTCTTGAGAAAATTGTTGTTGCATGATGTTGTTTGTTTTGCTTCTTTGTTATTTATTTGTTGAGATCTCGTCTTTCTGCAAGTAGCATGATATTATCCTGAATTCCAAGAACACCTCTTATGACTCAGGCAACTAGGATGAGAGCTTCAGAAATGAAGAGTAGATGCTCAATGGCTTTGAACAGCGCAAACATTAGCAAAAATCGATACACTGATGTTCTGCCATGTATGCAGATCAGTTTCTATAATTCTTTGTTTGATGTTGAAGTTGTGTATTATAACCTGTGAATAATTATATCAAGCTTCATTCTTCTCAGTTGACAATAACAGGGTTGTTTTGGACCCACCAGCTAGAGGATATATAAATGCAAGCTTCATTAAGGTAGACTTCTACATCCATTACTTGAAATTAATTAACCATGCTACTTGCTCTCCATACTCTCTTGGAAAATGTCAAGCTCTCTTCCACCAATCTGCTTCATGAGCATTATAATGCTCCTTTTTGCTGTAGATATCCGAAGACGTGTCTCAGTTTATTGCAACACAAGGTCCGCTACAGCACACTTTTGAAGACTTCTGGGAAATGATAATCCAGCATCGCTGTCCTGTGATTGTGATGCTTACACAATTGTTTGACAACTACAAGGTATTCAACTGTTTAAATTACCAGGTAAGCATTGTAATGTTAACAAGACAAGATATCCCTATTCTGTCATCTGACAGAAAGAAAAAAATTGACATTTTTTGTGACAAGGCTTCTGATCCAAAATTTGCTACCTAGGTAAAATTCTAACTTTTCTGCCCTTTTCATCTCTTGATTTTCATCCTCCGTTGTAATTAGATCTAGCATTTTTCATACTTTCAGAAAGGTGCAACTGAACCTTTGATACTGTTTTTGCATTTTTGCTTAAGATGCTTTGCCCCTTACTATGTACTCTTCTATATTTTGAGTGGTGAGATAGGATGGGGAAAAGAAACAGTAGAGAAAAAAAATCTTAGCCATCTCTTCTTGCTTGTCAATCTTTATTTCACGCCTCTGTGTATAATAATATACACAGAAAGGAACAAACAGGTTGGTATTTTCAATATATATGCTACTATATCTTCTCAAAAAAAATAGAAAAAAGAAAAGGTTGGTATTAAATTAAATTCTCATTTTCTATCAGCATTCTTTCACATCATCCTTTCTGGCCCTAATTCAAGCCAGAGGTGGTGGCTTTAAGGTCCGTTGGATTTTTTTTTTCTTTTTTTGAGAATTCTGTTGGAATTTGATGTATTCATCACTGTCAATCTTTCTGCTAGTCATCACTGCCAATCTTTCTGAGTAGGGAATGTTTCTCCTATAGATTATTTCAGAGCTTGGGCATATTTTGATGGAGTTGGTATAAGTAGACTCTAGTGTGGTGCTTAAAGATATTATGTGATCACTAGCTTGTGACTTTGTGAGGAATATAAAGCTTGTAGGTGAATAACTTTTGCAGAAAATCAGCTTCTGTTGGGGAAGGTTCCAGTTGCAGTTCATATTCCATCATGGGAAAAAGCCCTAGATTTCCCTTCTTATAAGCTTGGCAGATTGTTTATTTATTTTTGTGGTCTTTCTCTAGTTTCAAAACTGTTATACTTGGATTTTGTTGGTTATTTGAACTGCAGAAGGATTAGCAAAGTCTAACATGCAAAGGCTTGGCGGCTATTCTAGGATTGGAATTTGGACTTAATAAGTTCTTCTTTCCCTTCTATCTTCCTAAAACCCGAGTAGCTGAGAAACAATTTCCCGGGCCAAATGGAAAAAAGGAAAATAAGAGACCTTGTTTCATGGCCTTTATTCTGGATTATATTCAACTCTTCACACAAAGAGAGAGGCTACTAGTCTCCTTTCAATCGCCCTGTATCACCTGTTAACCGCTGAACGAATTTAAGCATTTATTCTAGTTGGTTTTTACTTCATTTGTAAGTGATTAAGCTGGTGATTGCGTCATTTTGACTATTTCATCTTTTCCTCTTTATGAAAAATGCAATGCAGATTGTCAAGTGTGGGGATTATTTTCAGGCAGATGGTGGTCCCAGAAGATTTGGCAATATATGTATTGTTACGAAGTGGATAAAGACGACTCAGACTTCATTGATTTTGCGATGTCTGGAGGTGAACTATATTGAGGTTAGTAAACTATTCTCTGTCCATGTTATACACAAGGAAAAGAGCATGAAGAATCTTATTATGTTGGACATGAATATGGACCCACTGGAGACTATTTACCTGATTCATTTGATGGAGAGTGAGAGTTGCTGATGTACATATTTTGATTTCTGCACCATTTTACATATCCAGACTGATACTCTTCTTCTCCAGTAATATGAGTCCTTGGCTTTAGGATACCCTTCTTTAAAGCTCTATGATCACGCATTGCTCTTTCTGCATAAGTTCTCCCAAGATTTGGGTTCTTCTTTTATGAGAGCAAGAATAAGAAGGAATTGCAACATATGGGGAAAATTTTGCAATATAATATGATGATTTCCATCAGTATTGCCTTTAACAATGAATTGGATGTATGGTGTCATTTTTGTTCATTGTCTCCTCTTGTATATAATCAATGCAATTCCATCTCTAGCTTCAACCAGTGGTTTTAAAACCAAACATTTTGTGGATATAGGTTTGATTTTAAACCAAACAGGAAGACTGATTGTCTTGTAAACCATCCACTTTGGAAACCTGCGTTTTGTCTGTTTCAAGGCCTTGCTTTAGTTGCAGCAAGACTTTTAATAGATAATGATTATCAATGCTAATGAAGCAACATTGTCTGGAAAAGATTCTTTGGTGGTTCGTCACCCCTCCTTCACTATTTTCAAAGTAACATTTTGAAGCACTTTATTCTACTGTGGAATCGTTTCTGCCTGCATTCTTGGTCCTTCTTTTACAATCTTTGATGCTTGGAAAGACTGTTTGAGATAGATGACAACACCTTTTCCCCTCTTCCTTACATGAGGACAACTTGAATGCTAGCTATTTTTGTTTTATCTTGTGTTTTAATTACTTTTATAACTGCATACACACCACCCTCGCCAGACCTCACTTGTGGGATTACACTGAGTATGTTGTTATAGCAGATCTAGGTTTTTCTCTTGCCATGTAGTAGGTGGCAATAGACTACTTGTTTCTGTGAAAAGGCTTCACAATTGGTACTACAGTTATTGCGGCAATCTCTTATCGATCTCTTTCAAGCAATTCTGGCATTTTTATTGTTGGGAGTAAAGAAAACTTTAAGTCTTTCACTTTGCAGTACAAATGCTTTATTTCGTATTATGATTTCAGAAATGTGGTTTCTTTAACCTTGTACTTTTAGTGGAATTACCTTTTGGCAATCTTGTAAGTAGTTTCTACAATGGTATGTAATTGTGGCCCAATTCTCCCACTCACTTGTCATCCTTACATGTAGTTAACATTAATTTCTTGCCCATATTATGAGGGAAATGACAATAAATGTGTGATCTTTTCTCCTTGCTATTTGCCAGTCAAAAGAACCACCTTTGTGTGTTTTACACATTCAATATCCCGACTGGCCTGACCATGGAGTTCCAAAGGACACTCTTGCTGTTCGTGAAATACTGAAACAAACATTTAGTGTCCCACCCAGTCTTGGACCAATTGTGGTGCACTGCAGGTTTCTGATCATCATCCCTGTAGATGTGCCTTTTAAAGATTCTGTAATTGATCCTTTCTAAAGCCTGACATCTCATTCTCTTACATAGTGCAGGTATTGGTAGGACTGGAACATACTGTGCAATCCATAATACCATCCAAAGAATATTGGTTGGAGATAAGTCTGCTCTAGATCTCGTTAACACAATAACCATTTTTAGGTCTCAGCGAATTGGGATGGTTCAGACCATGGTACAGCAGCTTCTCTTCGTTATTGAAATTGATAATACAACTTATATTACACAAGCAGATAACTGTTGGAGTAGTCGAGGTTTGCAAAAGCTGGCCCGGACACCACCGCCATGAAAAAAATTATATATAGTTGCCCCAGTGTCCTTATTTTTTGTTTAAGAGCTAGTTAAATGTCTTGCATTTTATTCGCTATACTCTCTTTTTCTCTTTTGGTATTTGTTACACTTACCCTCAGTATCTATACTACTGTGTTTCAACATTCTTAACTAATCTTTGCTCTTAGGTTCTTAAGTACTTATTGCACGGAATGTCTGTACTAAATTACTATTGTATATTACAGGAGCAATACCTCTTTTGCTATGATGCCATTATCGATGAACTTGAAGACCTCATTTCAGATAGCCAATAAAGAAGAGAGTTCCTAATGGTAATTTTCATTTTTTCACTATCAGGAAGTCCAATTGGATATTGAAGCAAATACTCACACTTGTTGGGATTTCATCCATTTTTTCTCCTATTAGTTTTAACCATTTAATGTGTTGTATTCCAGCAAGGTCCATGCAACTGGTTCTTCCTTGCTGCAATCATGCCTATACTTGCTTACAAATGAGAAGAAATGGAACAATAATTTGTGCTGAAGAAGCAAATCAGTTTGGTCCACTTGAGTTTCTTACTGCTCTTACCATGTAGGAATAAGCATTAACGTGCAAAATATCGTATGTTGTATTTCTGTTTGGAAGTATTTATGCTTTTAGAGAGGGAAAGAGAATGGAATGAAACTTATTTAACATTCTCTTGATGATATATAGCCTACTTATTGTTGGTTCAATGTATGACAAGTTGATGATGTTCAAGGTACCAGAATTTAGTAGCTTTTACACCAACTTTCTTGCAATGGTTTATGTGAAAGACTTTACATAGTAATTGGGGATCAAGAGTGGTAAAATATAGCTTTGTCGTGCTTTGGTGCTTGACGTGACTGGGGAGGGGGGAGGCTTCAAACGAAGTGCGGAAAATGAGTCTATCCTTCTCTGACTTCATTTGCAGAATTTTTTTTACTGATACGTTATTCTTTGGTGTAATTAGTTGTGAACCAAAACGACCCATTAGTATCTTCTGGAAAAAAACAAGTATAATTAGTGGCTTAGTGCAGTTAAATTATGGTTTCACATTCATACACCATTGTCAAGAAGAGTACACAAACGGACTTTAACAATACAATATCATACAAAAGCTTAGCATGTGTATTTACTCGGGATATTTGTTTTCTTTTAACTTTTAACATTATGTAGTTCAATTAGATACGATTTAAACTTGGAACTTCAAATTGAATTTTAAACCCCTTTAATTACTATGTCAAGCTCTAATCTTATGTTTAGGAGGTTCAAAATTTATATGTATACATAAAAAGATTTAAACCTAATGGATCATGTAACTTTTTGCCGATGGGATGAACCCGTGGTATCCTCTAGATCCGCCTCTGATTGTATTTCAAAATATATTAATTCAACTAATTTATATTCACATCATGCAAGACTTTAGAAGTTTCTTATTTACATTCTAGACTTCAAATTAAAGATAAAAGAATCTTATTCATTTCACCACGTTCCTCGAGTATAATTCCATTTATTACACATTCATCTTGATATTTTTATTTGACCAAGTATATTTTAGAGTCTCAAATCGAATAATTTGGTACTATGAAATTATGATAAATATTTTCTTATTTTCGACCTGACCCGACCCGAAAAGATTAGGAAGATCACATTGCCCCAAAACCCTTCTCCGCCAGTATAATCACCCAGCATTTTGCCTGGACACGGCTTCAATAAAAATACTTTATTATATTCAGTTGAAAGAAGCAAATCAAAACCCCAAATTCTCTCTTTTTGCAGCGGCGAAAATGGCGAACCCGGAGGAGGCTGTCGATTTCGAGCCAGAGGAAGACGATCTGATGGACGAAGATGTTGACGCTTCATCACCTAGGGCACCGATGCCAAAGCTGAAATCAGCCATTACAGGCGGCGGCGGTGGTTCTTCTGCTTCTAAGAAAATCAAAGGACGTGGTTTCCGTGAAGAGACTGCTGAGGCTGAAAGGAATGCTCGCCTTTCTGCTCGATTCGATTCACTTGACTCCGAAGGTGGCCCTGGACCTGAACGATGTTAGTTTCTACTCTAACTCATCTTTTTTATATAACGAAAAGAAGTTGCTACTTCCTTTTTTTAGAATTTTGTTCAAATTTGGGGAAAATGTTGCAGCAGGTTGACAATTCATCTAACGTAATTAATTAGAGTTTTTTTAGTTCGGTTAGGGATTTGTACTTAGAGAAGCGCTAGTGCTAAAAATTTGCTACCTATAATTGTTTTCTCTATGATTTTGTGACGGGAGATTGATAGTCGGGATAATGGGTAAAGAGTCTCTAAGGAAATGTTTTAGTCTGGTTAGAGACTTTTATTTAGAGAATATCTAGGTTTAGGATACCTTAATTTTAACAGGTTAGAAACTGCTTGTTCTTATAATTGTTTTTTCTTTTGGTATTTGTGTTTTGGATAAAGGAAAACTGCTGTAGGTGGATAATCCGTGTTATGAAATTACCCTGCAAGGAGTGTGTTTAGTTTGGTTTACAGACTTGAATCTAGAGAACAGCTAACTTTAGAAGACTAAAATTGAATGTTTTGGTGTTCACCCTGTTATTTGTGTAGATTTTTTCACGAGGAGCTTTTGTGGTTTTATTGAGTGCATTCCATATGTTTTTCTGTTTTGGTTTAATTTATTTTCTGCTATTGATTAATTGAACGATGTTAAATTGCTTTTGTGAATGACACCGTGTTAAGGTTTCACCTACATTGTGTAAGCATGCAGAATTAGAGAAGTGAATAAAGAAGTTAGGACCTACTTCTAGTAGAAGTTGATTTTGTTAATCTGTGTGTGAAGAAAAAAACAATTAGAGAAAGGAACACTCAAATATTGCTTGTACTTATCTTCACCTTTGTAGGACCCTGTTACGTTATTTAGAAAGTGGAATAACTTGAAGATCATTGAGTTGAGGTCTTCATTTTCAGAAAGAATAGAAAGATCATGAAATAGGGAATTTTTTTTGTACTTAATGTATATCTGTGTTGTTTGGTCCCTTACTCTTGCCATTTTGCTTATGAGCCTCCAGCTTCATGTTGTTTACATTGTAAATGTGCTAACTAGTTGGATTGGGTTCCAGCTATTATTTTATTTACATCTAAGAAGCACTTAATGGTAGGCTGTATATTTGTCACTTTGTCATTGTTGCTTAGTTTTTAGGAGAGAGCTGGCTTTGTATAGCTAATCCAACTTACCCTCAACGGCTCAACTTGGTCTCCAGCACTTGCTGAAGTAGTCAGAGAAGTTGGCCAACAGAACTTAATATGCTGATTTTAGTCGGAGATATTAGTTGTTTGATTGCTGGGTCACCAGCACTTAAGTAATATGTAATTTGTGCTGGGTATCTGAGATATTTTTCAAGTTATGCAATTCTGATGTAATAAACATCCCAAAATGTCTGATAGGTGATGATTCAGACATGGATGGTGTCCCCCCCTTTTTTTTTCTTTTGAGATTACTGGTAAGATTAATAAAGGTTTAAATAAGTAGTAGAGAGCTAATGAGGGGAACATCTGCAGCCATTGAAGGATGGATTATTTTAGTCACTGGAGTTAATGAGGAGGCACAAGAAGATGATCTTCATAATACATTTGGTGAGTTCGGGGAGATCAAGAATTTGCATTTGAATCTGGATCGTCGTTCTGGATTTGTCAAGGTGAACTGGCTCTTTTCTTTCTCGGAATGTTTAGCTGCTTCTTTGGGTTCTGGGTGTTGCACATATGATGTTATATGAATTGCATTCCCATTGTATGCTTTAATCTAATAAACTTTCCTATCAAAAGATTTTGGATGATGACAATTGTTTCAATCAAGAAAATTTTGTTGAAGATTATAAGTGACAGACATTCCTTGTTCCATGTAACTATGTAAGAGCATTTCCTTGATGAATCTGTAATGGAGTAAATGGAATAAAATAGGATCAATGTTATGTTAATTATGAGGGAGTCCAGATAGATACTTTTCTTTGTTTTTAGTTAAGTTTCTGCGTTTGTCTTGGTTTGGACTTTGGAGTGGTATAGTTTTTATAAAGTTTTCCATTTTGACAGGGTTATGCACTTATTGAATATGAGAACTTTGAAGAAGCAGAGAGAGCTATCAGTGAAATGGATGGGAATGAGCTGCTCACTCAGACTGTTCATGTTGATTGGGCATTCAGCAAAGGTCCTTTTAGAAGGAGAAATGCTAGGAGGAGGTATCTTCTTGGTTAATCCAATTAGTGTAATTTTGTGTGTAAAATAGCTGTGAAAAAATGTTGCCTGAATCAAGGATACACTTTTTCACTTTTAATCAATGTGGGCAAATGTTCTTCCAGAAGCATAGATTTTTACCCTCTTCTTGAGAACAAGTCGGGGTCTCAAATTTATTCGCAGAGATTGGAATAACCACTTTTTAAACATTTGCAACTGGATAAATGTTATGATGTACAGTAATTGTTTTCTTGTGAACTTTTTCACTATAATGCATGTCGTTTAACTGTATAGCGTTCATCTCCATAGGAGTGGAATTGTCACTTGCCTCCGTCATATGCTTTTTGTTGATAAAAGTTACCAACCCATTTCCTGTATCCCATGATTCAGCTGTCAGTTGTGTGTGTGTGGAATCAAATGACAACCACCTATTACTAGGACTCCATTTTATTTAAATGGCTGGCAGCTGGATAGCTTGCGGATCAAAGTTGTCTTAATTTTTTGCCTCATTTTTTGTTCTATGACGTTATAGTAGCTTTTTACTTCTATCAGAGCATTTCTCTGTGGAGGTAATGGACAGTGTATCCATCAGTTCGCTTAAATTTTCTTTTTTGCTCCCTGTTTTCTGAGGGTAAGCATAATTGTTTGATTTATTTTCTCTTACTTTTGATCTAGTTTTGGTCAAATCCCAGCTGAGATCATTGAATTAGGTTTCCCATTGATCATATTGTAGGCAAAAATTGAGAACTTATCCCTCAATACATAACTAGAAAAGTTCCAAAACTGTTTAGCAGAAGTTTGAGTAGGATTAGCTCAATGATTAAAACTAGTTCTCAGTAGCCTTATTAGTAGACAAACTGCAAACTCTTATCAGACTTCTCATCGGGTTTATTTGTCAAGTTCGCCAGCAATTAGAGAGCTATTTGCTTTGCAATATACATATGATTGCTATGGTTGTATGAACATGTGAAGTGGTGGATTAGGTTTTCCTAACATCATTATGGTCACAAAATGATTGTCTGAAGATTTATGCATTTCTCACCCTCCCATGGATAGGTGTCCCCAGGCAGTTTGGGCTTTTATTTAGCTTTTGGAGAGGGGTGCGAAGGTGGTGGAATTGGTGCAAAAAACACTAGGATGTGTCTGTGTGGGGTATGGGTTGCCATTTATAGTCAAATATAGGATAGGCACTTCACATTTTCCATTCGAAACTAACACGTGTCTTGTTGGGGATTTTCCTTTTTGGCAAAAAGGGAGTTGGATACCTTATGATGAACTCTCACATAACCTGGTTATAAATAGGACTCTATTACAGCAATGATGTAAGTCTGCATCTGTTTCCTGGAAGTTTGTTAACCCTTGTTTAGTTATTACAGATGAGCAGTGTCTCCGAGGTGCCAAGCAGTTGTAAAGGTGTTTCTAATGTATCCATTTTAAAAAGAACATAGGATGCTTCAGTTTGTCTTTGTTATGCGCAAAATGTGATGACTCTGCTAGTAATTGTTGAAGCTACAGACTAATAACTGGGTTGCTCAGCCACATCAATTTGTAAATACCAACTTTAGTTGTTGGTGCCCCCTTCATAATGTTAGAAAAATAGGAAGAGTTAAGAGGATTTTCTAGTCAGTTCGTGCCTTTTTGAGCTGATAGGAAGACTACTGACTTGCGAGAAACTTGTTGCTCTCTTGAGTCAATTTAGAGGAAAGTTTATCCTTGTCCTTTTAGATACTTCCCTTTATATGATAAATATTCATTTTTTATGATAGATCTTTATTTCTTATTCCAAAATAGAAAATGAAATTCCTATCCTACATCATTACTGCAAAATCTGTGTTTGAATGTTTGGAACATCACCTATATGGTTTCTGCATTGAAGAACTATCGACTAACATGTAGCTGTCCTCATCCTTGCAGGTCACCACGTAGTCATCGTTCTAGAAGTCCCAGGAGGAGATTCTAGTTCTACGCACACCTATTTGCAAGGATTGTGTCACTGACTTCTAGAGATCAGGCTCTATGAATTCCTGGTCTATGCTGTAATTCCATGTGTACGATTGTTCCTTTGCCAGTTTTTCTTTAATTTTCTGTTCCCCTAACTCTGCTCTAAGTGAATGCATCTCGAGCTTGTCTGGTGGTGTGCACTTCTCTGGCCTTTGTGAAAATTTAGATTCCTTTTGAGAATATTCGGAACTTTCCCAGTTATCATCTGAATTGAATATGGTTAATGGTTATCTTGATGGCGGCATTGTGAGTTGATTGTCATGTAACATTTGTGGGTAAATTTGATGTGTTTCAGTAGTGTGTACTAACGAAAAGTGTCTGCAACTTACCTTTTGAGTACATTTCTTTTAAAGCATCAAATGAATTATAGTTGCATCATTTTTTTAGCAGAAAGATTGAATATTCACTGTCTTGTACTCCAAACTATTAATCATGAAAGTTACTCCATTTGGAGTTCATGACTTTAGAATATTGAGTGAGAGCTAGCTCCCTGGGGGGCGAGTGGCACTGAAATTATAAAAACCAACTGTGGTAATTGAGAACTTATGGTAAAAGGTGCTGACGATAATATTATAAATCATGAGCATATGGTAGTAATGACTTCTTTACTCTTTCTTTGAGGTAATTAATAATTACCTTGGGAAAATTAAATTTATATCACGTTGGGGTTTGACCATTGAAAAGACAAAAAGCAAAGCAAGTGCACGATGACGTCTGGCCTGCTGTGCCGTTTGGGTTTGGTGCGGACGTGGTCGTTGAGGCGTGGGGGTAGGGGCAATTATTTTACTCTATAACGTAACTATAACTAAATTTTCCCCGTTAATCACATTTTTAATGGTTTTGTTTAACTGATTTTATTAATGATATTTTGAGATTCTAAATTTGACTACTATTCCTATTTTAATAATAGTATTAAATAACTATATAGAATAGAAAAGGAAAAAACATGATAGAATTTTCTTGATTTTTAAAATTAAACCAATAAAATGAAATATAGGGGTTAAGTAATTGATGAAGGGTAAGAAAATGGGTATATGGTGTTTAAAGCGGGATATTATTTTATTATTAGTTATTAGTAATAGATACGAAAGTGTTGAAAGTCGTATAAAGAGATATTTTTGGTATAATAAAATTAAAATATTCACTATTTATTCACTTTGGTATACTTGATATAAATATATATTACAACTATAATCATTTACAATAAATAAATAAATATAAAACACAATTTTTTTTTGATAAAAACATAGTAAAAAAAAGTTGAACTCAAACTCAATTTGTTGTTAAATATGATTAAAAACACTTCAACGCTGAGAGCGAAGTTGTTTGTTTTTCAAGAACATAGATAACTCAACTCTGTGTGTGTATGTGTGTGAGAGAGAGTTTTCCTACTCTATCGTGTCTGACTTGGGGGTCTCTTTGCTTACTTCTTTGCCATTATTCTTGACCCAGCTTCCCCTTCCCGACCTTTTACTCTCCAAAAATCCAACACCCATTAAGCAAAAAAAGCTACTAATCACTTGTATTACCCTTTTTTTCTCCCTTAATCAAGTGTATTTCGTTCTTGTTGAAAAAAGGGGTTATTAGAATCTGTTGTGTCTTTGTTCAGATCCAAGTTATCATCTTTTTTTGTTTCCCCTTTGTATCTTGCTTGGTAAGCTTGCTTTGCCTCTTTATTATACAGCTGTTTTTATGTGTTTTTATTCAGTATGCGACTGTGTCGGTCTCTTTTTCTTGTTTTCTTGCTGACTGATGAGGTAAAGTTGTGATCTTTTAGACCCTTCTAGAGTGTTTTGACTTACTTCTTTATAGTTCATGTTATAGAGGTGGATCTTGGATTTTTGTACTAGTAGCTGTCCTGCTTATTTGTGGAAGTGAGTGCAAACTTAGTATAGATTCTTGAAATTATTTTACATTATATGTACTATGTAGTTCAAGTTGAGAACATTGGATTCCCCTGTAGTGTTCTATGAGCTGTGGTGTTTCTTGTGGCAACATGCTGGTGGTATTTGATAGCTTTTGCTAATAATCTTGTACATTCTCCCATTTGGATGCCATTAAGTATTCTATATATCCTGCAAATTGGGTTTTTGCATTGCTTGTTTATTGTTAATTTATTGAGATATAGAGACATGCTTTTTTGATATTCTGTTCTTTATGTTGTGGTTTGTGTTTGTGTCAGTTGAATTAGATCGTACCTATGCTCAGAGTTGATAGTTAATTTGATCATGCAGCTGAATTCGAGGATCTGCTTGGTTTAGCTTAGACACATTTGAGCGCGTATTGTCAAGCAGCTTTGTTGATATCGGTACTCTGCTGCAGAAGTTTCTCAAGGCATTTATGAACTTTTGACTCAAATGTTGATGGAAACCTCGAGATTGAAGTAGGTGGAAGCATTATACAATAATGGGTGGCCTTTGCTCTAGAAGAGCCACCAGTGAGAATACAACAGGTCGTTCCATACCACATGTCAACGGTCACTTCAACTATGGTGCTGGAACAGTTTATCAGTCGCATAGATTGCCCTCACAGGCAAATAATGATTCTGTGCAATCTCCACTGGGGGAAAGCACAGAAAATCAACCAAGTGAACCAGTGTTCTCTTTTCCAGAGTTGAATGCAGCTTCCCATGGGGTTGATATGGATGCTATCAATGATGGAATTCCTCGATTGTCTAGGGTTTTATCAAATAAAACCAGACCAACAAGGTCAAAGCAAGTTGCCATGGCAAAGGTGATTAGTCTCCTATTCGTTGTTATTTCCTTTGTCCTATGGCCTGATGCTTCTGTCTTTTTCCTATTGCATTTGTGATTATGTAAAGTATTTCCATTTCACTGTCTTGAGAATGGCCAAATGTCACATAGGTTGTAAAAAATGAAGATACAAAGACGAATGAATAATTTATAAAAAAATTGGATGAATAATTAAAAGGCAAACAAAGAGAAAAATAAACAAGTGAGAATAATAGAGAGGATATTATAACTGTCTTGGAAATCCAATGAAATGTTAAAGGAGCACACAATGTTCTATAACTGTGATAGCTGTGGTGTGCCCTATGTGAGAATAACATAGAGGGTAGACTTCAATAGTGCTACTTTCTCTCTCTTAGACAAATACTCTCTTCCCTCCACCACCCTCCTCTAGAATTTCTTCATTGTAGGTTGTCACAAATCTTTATTTTTGAATTTTCTCTTCCAAGGCACCCCAAAGAGGCAAAGACGATATTGACAATTCGGTCACTTTTTGCAAGTTGCACTTACAAATCCGTGCCAAGCTGCCCCCATGGCCTAGCTTGAGTGGCAAAAGGTGGAGGATTTGTGGCTTAGGTCGCAGGTTCAAGCCCCACACCATGCAAAGCAAAGCCCGGTATTTAAGTGGAGAAGGGTAGAGGGGCGGGCCCATCATCCACCGAGTTTAGAAGGCTGTGATTGGTCCAAAGGGCGGGTCACAGGCAGATTTCTCGGTTAAAAAAAAAAAAGTCCGTGCCAAGCTATGAATGTCTTGTAACTCATCCATTAGCACTAACTCTGACTTATGAATACTGATACGAAGTCCTGATATAGGTTCAGACTATATAAGGTTTAACTAAGTATTGAGTGGTCTATGTCGAAGCCCTCAAAAGATTAATATTTCAGTGACGAACAATAAATGAGATATGTCTTTCCTTCCTCCGCTTCCATTACTACCTAGAGTTTCTTTATGAAACCAACATACCACCATACGCTCCATGAGTCTATTGAGGGCTTCCATCAAGAACAAAAAAGAAGCAGAGGTAATGGATCCCCTTGCCTAATCCCTCTTAAGCTCCCCAAGAATCCAGTGGTTACCACTTTGAAGAATGAAAAGAAATACAGTGTCTTATCATGATGAAGCTCTCTTTTGAATCTATCATTTATTCTCTTTATCAGTTCCTGTAAAGTTTTATCACATATTTGACCACTTGCTATTCCCCTCAAATAAAGTCCCTCTGGTCGTCTTTATGGTTTTTCACTAAAGATGCTGCAATGCTACTTTGTTCTTAATTCATTTTTGAGCATGTAGATTCCCAAAGTTGAATTTAACATCAGGATGAAATGTTCAGTTGAATCTATGGTTTACTCTCTCTCTCTCTTTCTCTATCAGTTTCATTCATGTTCCACCATATATTTGAATATTTCCATCCCCCTTAAATACATCCTACTGGTCATCTTTCTCAATAGTTGTTAACAAAAGATGCTGCAATGCTGCTTTAAGCTTACTTTATTGATGTTGCACATAGAGAGGAAGATTATCTTGAACATCTTTTGGCAATAAATCTTGTTGTATTCAGTATTAACTAGTATAAGTACCCACGCTCGCACGAAAAATATTAAAGATATTGGGCATAGAAAATGTAATGTGCTGAAACAAGTAAAGACAAAAGAGACTCCTCTTTCAATTAACTTTTTCTTATGCATCACGAAGCTTTTTCTTCTTTTCATTGGATCAAACAATTTTCCAATTCACAGTCATAAATTTTCAGTTCAACACAATATCTAACATAAACTTCTGATATAGTGTAAAGCTTTTTCCGCAAAGATATAATCTTCAAAAGGAAAAACAGAGATTTATCTAATTAATAATTTTTTTTGAAAACTAGATTTATCGAACTAATATATTCTAACATTGATTGAGCATGTGAACCAAACACAAAATTTAGTTGAACTACTCTCTAATGTGATTGCATAGTAAATGACAGTTAGCTCTTAGGTCATTCTTTGGGCAGCTTTCCTAGCAATAAGTCTCTCTTTGGCTTTGATCTTGGTCTGTTGATTCCAACTTTCGGACTTCAGAAGTTTCATCATTTATACACGCTCATGTATCATGAAAATCATAACTAAATGATCTGATGGCAAAGAAAAAAGACCATCATAATTGCAAGCTGATGTAAAAGGGAAAAAAATGATCCAGTAGTAATGAGGCCAACAAAGAACAAAATCGGACAATGAATTCAATTTAATGTGTTAATGAATACATTTTTCCCGGATGGGTGTAGAATATTGGATGGCTGCATACAAACTATGATTCAACCAACTGAACAAAAAAAAAACTATTAACTCGCAGATAGTGTAATATCAGACTACTGGCAGTAATTGTATTCAGTATTAATTAATTTCCTAAAGATGAAGATTAATGGTTATATTTCTAAATATTACTCTCCTTTCCAATTTATGCGATGGTGTTTGAGTGGGCATGGAGATTAAGAAATAACAACGGAAGACTTTTGAAACTTGTGGTCTATAATAATCCATAGATATTTGTGTGACTAAAAATTATCTCACTAAGGGTAAAATAAGTATGTTAAAGTTAATTTTTTACTAAAATGTAGAAAGATGTCATTTGGTATTTTAAAGTTAAATTGTTAAACGTGTCATTCTTTCTGGAATTGACTAAAAAGGGAAGAGTGTCACATCAATTGAGGACAAAGGGAGTAAAATTTAATAATTTTATATTTGCTTGACAGGTTTCAGAAGTGAGTTCACTTTTGGGCAGAGCTGGTACAGTGGGGCTTGGCAAGGCAGTAGATGTGTTGGATACTCTTGGTAGCAGCATGACAAATTTAAACCTAAGTGGTGGCTTTGCATCTAGCATGGCAACCAAGGGAAATCAAATTTCCATTTTGGCATTTGAAGTTGCAAATACAATTGTCAAGGGTGCCAATCTTATGTATTCCCTTTCAAATGAGAACATTAAGCATTTGAAGGAAGTGGTTCTCCCTTCTGAAGGTGTGCAGCTGTTGATATCAAAAGATATGGATGAGCTCTTCAGAATTGCTGCAGCAGACAAAAGGTGTCAAAGAGTCTGAAATAACTTTTGCATACTTTCATTTTCTTTTGGTTCAAGAGTGAGATAGTTGTTGTAATTTGACAGGGATGAACTGAAAATATTCTCTTGTGAAGTGGTTCGCTTTGGAAATAGTTGCAAAGATCCTCAATGGCACAACTTAGACCGTTACTTTGAGAAGTATTTAAAACTAACTTTAGTCCAGTTTTTCTGCTTTGTTGTTACCACTTCAAAAATGAATATTCACATTATCTGTAGTTCATTCCATTACGTTTAGGTTGGAATCAGAATTGACACCTCATAAACAACTAAAAGAAGAAGCTGAGACTCTGATGCTGCACTTAATGACCTTGGTACAGTATTCAGCAGTAAGTTCCATCTCAGCATCTACACTTCTTGACCTATTCTTTCCCTATTTGTTTCATTTTTTTATTTTTTTCCGTTAAGTAATGCTCCCTCCGTCCCAATTTATCTGAAGTGTTTGACTGAGCTCAGAGTTCAAGAGGAAAAGGAATACATTTGAAACTTGTGGTCTAGAATAAGCCATGAAATTTTTAATGGCTGTGAATCATTTCATTAAGGGTAAAATGGGAAGATCGAAGTTAAATTGTTACTAAATATGAAAATAAGTCATTCTTTTTGGACTGACTAAAAATGAAAGAGTGTCACATAATTGGGATGGAGGGAGTAATTTCTTTTGATAATGAAGTATTCTGTTATATAATATATATACATAAGTAGAGTATCTCACATAAAAACATAATTCTTTATGAAGAGCAATAATTCATTATCTCATAGGGTGTTCCAATTTTTTTTTTAAAAAAAATCCTCGACTTGTACAATGAGTAATTTAACTCTTCAAATGCTATTTTGGTTTTGTTCTTTCCATATGGTCCATATAAGCGTTAGAGGATCCCTCCTGAATTTCCACCCGAGTTGCATATTTATATAACCCTATCCGACATTATTCATTCTATTCCCATCATGTTACAAATTCTACACTATAATTGGTCTACCACTTGAAAGTTTAGTATGGATGCATCAGTTCCTGCTTAATGCCCACCCATGTTATGATACTTGGATTAGCTTAAAGATTTGTGAATATTTCTCTGCAATTCCAGTAGTTGGAGTAGATTATATGAATCCTCTTTATTATGATCCAATTCATTCGAATTAAATGATTTCTCTTTTGAGACATATTATGGATTTTACATGGATATACACGTTTTTAACTAGAAAACAAAAACTCCTAGTAAAGGTCAGATCTAATGTGTGTTAGAAAAGTAAGCTTAGTCCCAACTTGTTGTTTTTGTCTATATGAGCATGTTGTTCAATTGGTTCTATTTTTACCTAACACTACGTTGATTCTGAGTAGGTATTTTTTGGACAATTTCTTACCTAGTGGTATATGTTGTTCTCTTTTGTTACTGTCAAATTATTATATTGTCATAAATTGTAAACAAGTATCTGGTTCGAGTAAATTGTAATTATTATGATCTTTGCAGGAACTGTACCATGAATTGCATGCATTGGACAGAATTGAACAAGATTGTCGACGTAAAGCCCAAGAAGAGGATACTTCAAATGCTACTCAGAAAGGTCATCTATCCACATATATTCATATTGTTCTCTATCTTCTTTACCTAACTATTTTAAATTAGCAGATCTGCATTAGCTCTAAGTTTATATAAACTATTTCTATACAATGAACTTCCTCCAGTTTCTCATATCATTAGGAACTTAATCACCAGCATGTTAAGTATTGTGGGCCTAGACAGAACACTCCTGCTTGGGTTTCCACAGGGTGCTACAAATAGCTTAATGAAGAAATCTTGAACGGGTAGATTCTAGCTACTATTGTTGTTTTCTAGATATGTATTCTGAACATGGTTTAAGACCTGGTTGGCTCAAGTCCACTTTTAATTCTGATGCTGCCATTGAAGTCCTCCTACACCTTCATTTGCAAAAGAGAAGCAAGCTCTATGGATGGAAGTCATAGCTGGAGAATATTGGGAATCAATTAGATTTAGGAACATCATATTGAATCTGATAACTAGTTCAAAAATATAGATATATAGACATCTTACTGATTCTAAACAGCATTGAGGACATTGTTTCCTTGTGGTTACTGTTTGTCGAGATTATTCTGTACTTTTAGTTGGTGTAAAGTTTGTTTGTGTAATGTCATGTGATTCTGTGGAGGACGTGAGACTCTTGTTACTTAATCTAGTAACCTTTGTTTACTCTTGCATTTTCTTCTTTTACTTTTGTCTTTAGTATCTGTTTTCTTCCTACTGATTTCTTATATTCCTTTTAACATATAAATATGCAGGAGATAGCCTTGCAATTTTGAGAGCAGAGTTGAAAAGTCAAAAGAAACATGTTAAAAGTTTGAAAAAGAAGTCTCTCTGGTCGAAGATATTGGAAGAGGTAGCAATTCAGTCCTGCTTTATCTTTTACTTTGATCTTAAATTTGATACTGGTAATGTGGTATCTAGTTTCTGCTTACTGCACAAGATGGATGGTCTGTTTAAGATAAATTGTCGAGGTTCCTTTCAAATTTCAATTGACTATCCTAACATCTGCTTTGCCATAATTGAAGGTGATGGAAAAGCTTGTGGACATTGTCCACTTCCTCCATTTGGAGATCCATGCTGCGTTTGGCAACACTGGTAATGCTTTGGAAACTTCAAGTTAACTTTTTATCATGATTCTTGGATCATTGTTGTCTGTCTATATCGTGATTAACTTTAAGATTTACATTTTGCTTGTGTCAATTGCTCGTTTAGTTTTAAGTGTAAACAACAATTTGTTTCTACATTATAGACTAGAAAATTAGCGCGTCCTGCTATTCACTAGGTGAGTAAAGATCTGTTTTACCAACGGCTACCTATCAATTTTATCTGTTATGTACAAACAGTTACTGTTGCTGATGCACGTGTGGTGATCAACGAAAATCATAATCTAGGGTGAACTATGAGTTATCGGATTTTATTATGCAACTAAGAGAGTCAGAAGTCATTGTCATGGCAGAACAATCCTTGCTTGTTTGTTATTGCCTATGCTTATATTACAGCTCATAATACTGATTCATTTGTTCCTATAAGGAAGGTATATTTTGTTTTATAAGGCAGGAACATACAAAATCAATCGAAACAGTTAAATATTTTTTTAACTCGTATTCTATAGGTGCTGAGCGTTTAGAGTTAAATCATTTCTTTCATGTCTTCAATTTTTTTTTGAGTGACTGAATTGTACAATTTTTTACCTGACTGCTATAGTTTTGCCAAACCTTGCAGATGGAGACCGACCAATAAAAAACAACCATCAGAGATTAGGATCTGCTGGTCTTGCATTACATTATGCAAATATCATTACTCAGATTGATACGCTTGTAAGCATCTCATGCACATACAATTATTAGAGAATCAGCATTTTTGACGCTATCATTTAATCTTTTGATTTCATTCATTTCCTTAATGGAAATGTGGAATGAAGTTGACATCTTTTCCTCCATTAAGCTAAACTACTTTTTTTGTTTCTCGTCATAAATATATCAAGCATTTATCTTCCTTGTAAATCATCATCTTAATCCCAATAGATATTCTCTCATCTCTTTATATGTTTCATAAAGCTGTATGCTCTAATATCTATCAGGAATCACAATAAAGAATGGAGGTCTATCAATTGGACCAAAAACAAATGTTGCAAGAACTGCCACAGTGAAAATACTCAAATTGCGATTGTCTTTGTGAATCTCATATCAGAATTAGAATTTTAAATCGATAGCTAGAACTCCCAAGATCAGGTGAATTGTTCATGTGAAGATAGCAGTACTTTAAGGTTGTGATCCACTATAGAAGGCATTTGAAATCTTACTCTCAAGTGCTTTCATGGTTTTCATCATCTCACTTCCTGTTTTAGTATTGTATTTTTTTTTTCTTTTTGAAGAACTCGAATCATTTGTAGGTGGGTTTTTATATTAACTTAGGCATTTTTTTTTGTTTTTGACTTGAATTTGATGTTTGACTTCGTTTGTTTTTTTTTAAAATCTTTTCTATGTTACCCAAACTTTATGGTCCTCATGTATAGCTTATAATCTTTTCTTTGTTACCCAAACTTTATGGTATGCCTCATGTTCGGGTCTTGGGGACCTGTAAATATTTGGAAGTCAATTGTTACTCACTTAGCTGGAACGTAGATTAGTTCAAATGAGATTTTTTGGTAACCCAGTCATAGTTGTGGTGCCAATGCTATTTTTATGAGTTAAATTTCTAATAAATATTCTCGCTAGGCAAGCTAGATACATTGTATGAGAATTTTTATGAGAAATGCTTACTCTCTATGTTTAGGCGGACTCTTCAAAATCCCTGCCGCACCCATGCTGACACGACATGGATGTGGGTGTGGGATCCATAACTGATTTGGTCAACTTATCTTGGGTACTTTGACCACATTCTAGACCGAGAAGTATAGATTGATTGGGTATTTAGTTTGATTTATGGGTTTATGTCATATATATGAGAACGCTTTTCTATTACGTGAGATAAGAATAAAATATTGGTGTTTAGAAGAAATGAAGTTTTATTAGTTTTAGTTCTATAACTTTAACTAATCGATATATTTACTTTTTATGTCGTAATAAACATTTATTGGTCATATCCCTGCACCCGTATCCGAACTCGGATTCATACCCGAATCCTAAAATTTATGTGATGAAGAATCCGACCCTTAGATCCGCATTCATGTCCGAGCAGCATAGCAGTTACTGTAGTACCCTAAATTCGGGTGTTTCTCCAGTTTAGCTCTCTTTCTTCAGTCAGTAGAGGTGCCTAAGTAATGGAATCATACTTCTTACAGTCTCACAATCGTGCTGTAATTGTAACAAATTGGTATTCTGGATTAGTAATGTTGTTGAATTGTATGAAAAATATTTGTAAAATTATGTTATTTGTTGACATTTCTAATCAGAAACATAAAGTGAGTATCATATTTTATATGATCAGGTCACACGATCCGGTTCGGTGCCCCCAAATACAAGAGATGCTTTATACCAAGGGTTGCCACCAAGCATTAAGTCAGCTTTGCGATTCAAATTACAATCCTTCCAGCTCAAGGAAGAGGTACTCTTTATTTTGCCTTTCAAGGGTTTTTTGTGGGGTATCCTCAAGTTTCTGCCTTCTAGGCCGTTGAATGTTAGTAATACTCCAGATACTCTTATTGTGCAGTTAACTGTGCAACAAATCAAGGCTGAAATGGAGAAAACGCTGCAGTGGCTTGTTCCCATGGCAACCAACACAACCAAGTAAAACATCAATTTCCTAGCAATATATTCTTCAATTACAGCTTTCCAGTGATTCTTCATATGTTTCTTAGTCCAAAGAGGCTTTTCTGGTCAGCTATATTATATCAGTGGGTACTCTAAATTAATTCTAATTTGAGTTTTCTTGAGACTGGTGTTCCGATAGGTGAGGGATGTGAAGCCAGATCGTACTAAAAACAAAGATTTTTTTTTAAGAAAATGATAGATTTCATTATTCATTGGGGTTGTATGCTTGGAGGTTATCTTTCTTTTTCTCTTGTAGATTTTAAATGAGCTAAATTGAGCAATGTTAAATAAGGGCAATTGCATGAAGAATGCTATATTGTTTGCCCATATAGTATATTTGTATTAGAAAAAAATAAAATCATGTAGAAGAAAGGAAAGCAAAAGAGTGTCTTGTTTCTGTGTTTTGGTTTTGATGGTGAAAGAATGTAAAAAAGAGTTGCTTCTTATTAGATTCCTTGATGTGCTTATGTTTCAGTTCCTTGGCTAAGATCAAGTGTAGTATCTCATCTTATCAGTATAGCATCCTTATTTTTCTCCTTAATAACTCAGGCCCAATGTTTTGGACGGCGAAAGGCGATAAAAGGCGACAAGGGTCTGCCTCGCCATAAGGCAAGGCGAGCGGCGAGGTGCTCGCCTTTTTGAAGTGCGGCACCATTTAATACCAAAAAATTAAAATATTTAATTGCATATGTAAATAATCAAACAATAACATATTAGCAATTTTTTCAATTCAAAAACTAAAAATAGATAGTACATACTAAAAGTCTAGAACTTGAATGAGAAAAAATAGAACAAAAGTCAAAACAAAGGTAGAAGTGACTCTAAAGTCTGATGAAGAAGAAGGAAAAAGAACAGAGGAAGAAGAAAAGAAGAAATATGTATTGGTTAGACTTTGAAGTCTCCGGAAAAGTCTGCCTAGTTGCCGGAGGAGTCTAGTCAAAAACCCTAAAATTACCTTTTAACTTTTAAAACCCTAAATTGGTCGCCTTTTTTTAAGAAAATACAAAAGGCGGCGCCTTTCTAGGCTTTCTCGCTTCTTGCCTCTTGCCTTTTGTCGTCATGGCGTCGCCTTTTGAAGATCGCCTTGCCACAAAGGTAAAAGGCGATGAAGGGTCGCCTCGCCTCGTCGCCAATCGCCTTTCACAACACTGCTCAGGCCTTTGGCCTACTAAGGAGTTGCATTGGAGTTTTCTTCCCTCAACTTCTGTCCATTTTGTGTGAAAAGGTATATGTGTTATTAAACTATCCTCTCCGTCTCCTTTTTTCTGATGTAGATCCACTTCCTTTACTCTTACTTTACAGGGCCCACCATGGCTTTGGATGGGTTGGAGAATGGGCAAATACAGGGTGAGCTCAATTATAAGAAACTTGTTCTTTACCGATTGAACCAATTTTATGGCAAGTATTTATATTCATTTGGTCTGAAATGAACAGGAAACCTGCTGGACAGACTGATCTACTTCGAATTGAGACACTATATCATGCTGATAAGGAGAAAACTGAAGCTTATATTCTTGAACTGGTGGTGTGGCTTCACTATCTTGTCACTCAGTCGAGAAGTTCTACAAATGGCGGAATCAGATCTCCAGTGAAATCTCCATGCTGTTACCCTAATCAAAAGATGAATCAGTTAACACACAAGCCAAGTTCTCCATCTTCCACATTAACAATTGAAGACCAAGAGATGCTTCGAGATGTAAGCAAGAGAAAACTGACACCCGGAATTAGCAAGTCCCAAGAATTCGATACTGCAAGAACTAGGTTGAGCAAGTTCCACAGGCTGAGCAAGAGTAGTAACCATTCCCCTATACGTGAAACCAAGAAGGACCCCTTTCCCATTAGGAGACCGTCTTCTGTTCCAGTGATCAATTTTGACATTGATAGACTCAAAGCTTTGGATGTCATTGATAGAGTGGACACAATCCGAGGTACATAATGGTAAACTGATATAGCTGGGTTGGCAGAGAGGGGATCCTTTATTTGAGGCATCATTTTCTGCTGCATTTGGTTATCTTCTTTATGCTAATGGCTGCGTTTCTGCATGAGCCGATCATTTTCCTCTGCTGCCGTTGTATTATGGCCTAGTTTGTGATGGGGAACCAGTTATCAGAATAGCGTTCAAAATCTGCTATCTGTTCTGGTGCAAATTTTCTGGTAAATTTAGGGTACTATGATGAGTGAAAGTATTCTGGCCTGTTTTGGTATTGTCTGGTATCTTGAAACCTCTGTGCTTGGCCTGTTTTGGTAATTGTCTGGTATCTTGAAACCTCTGTGCTTGCAAGAGCTGGTGGATAGGTTTGATAGAGATTTGAGCTTTTTAGGGGGAGTGAATGAATGTGACTGCTACAATTCCATCATCATATGTACATAATGTTCTATTTATTTTAACCTTAATAATCAAAAGCTTGTTCTTTGTTTCTCCTATATTGGTCCTTGCTCCTTTGTTCCTTATGAATGGAGTGTTTTGAGAGTATTTCTTTGCTTACCACACTGTACCTGTCTTTCTTCTTGTTTTTTTGTCTCACAAAGATAAATCGCTTGTCTACCTCAACATCCATAGAATATCCTTCGTATGTCTAATTTATATAACTCACTTTCTTTTTTAGTTAGTTCTAAAAGAGTGATACATTTTTATATTTAGTACCAACAATTTAACTTTAAAGTATTAATTTTATCTTTAATAAATTGATTTATAGTGACACAAACATTTACTCCATCCATTTTAAAAAGAATGACTTCATTTCCTTTTTAGTCAGTTTTAAAAAATATGACCTCTTTCTTTTTTTTGTAATATTTTAATTTCAGTTTTTCACGTGGCATGTTTAAGATCACAAGATTAAAAGACAATTTTGTACAGTTGACATAACTTTAATTTAGGACTTCAAGATTTAAGTCTTCTTTATTTTCTTAAACTCCGTGTCAAGTAAAATTAGGTCATTCTTTTTTAAACGGAGAGAGTACTTATTTATATAAACCAAAAATTTCAAAAGTTAGTCTATCTTTCTTAAATTTAATGTCAAGTCAAACTACATCACATGAATGTCGCAAAGATTATGATAATGGAGTAATATTTGTATGATTCTTTAAAATTGTGTGGGGTTACACACACAAAATGTGTGCACATACCAAGTAAAATAGGTGCATAGACACCCTTCGGGTTGGCCCAGTGGTTTAGGCTTGATACATTAATGTTGGAGGTCTCAAGTTCGAAACCCCTTGCCAGCGAAAGCAAGGGATTTACATTTCTGGGTCGAGCTCGTCGCACCAGGCTTGTCTAGTGCGGGTTACCTCTCCTATGTGGTTTGCGAACTATTGCATAGGAGTGGGGGTTTTACCTTGTGCGCGCACCCAAAGAGTAGCGGCTGCGGATTTTTCTTGTCATAAAAAAATATATAGGTGCATAGACAAGGATGGATCTGGAGAGTCAATAACTATTACAAAGGTTAGATTAGTTGTTGAGGAGGTTCAAAATTCACTCTGAGGCTCTAAGTTCAAATTTCAAGCACTATATTTTTTTAACCCTAAATAGTCCACCCTTAACTAGAAGTCTCAAGCCGTATATGTAAAAAAAAAAAAAAAATCCACCCTAAGAAAACAACAACAAAAAAAAAAAAACTCTATTACAGCTAACGGTCACTTTTTCAAGATTTCATTTCAAAAACACAACCCTCTTATCCCTTTCTTTGTAACAAATCCTCTGTCTCTTTCTCTTCTCTCTCCCATGGCGGAAAAGCAAGAATCTTTGGGAAAACCCAATTCGCAGAGTGAAGATGAGAAGAAGATTCCAGTGTTTACAGTGCTAAAGAATGGCGCCATCCTCAAGAACATCTTTCTTCTTGACAATCCCCCGGCAACACCTGTTGCAATCACAGCAAATCAAGAATTTGAAGAGATTTTGGTAGTTGGAAGACACCCAGATTGTAACATTGTATTGGAACACCCAAGCATTAGCAGATTTCACCTCCGAATTCACTCTAATCCCTCTTCTCATTCCCTCTCTGTTATTGATCTGTCTTCGGGTAACTCCTAAATCAAACTCTGCCTTTGAGAAATTTTTCTTGCTGTTTCAGTATTAAGTATGTAGATTTCTTGATTTTGTATGAGGTCAGCATACCAGAAAGATAATACTCTTTTTGTCCAATTTGCATGATACTTCCCTTTTTAGTCCGCCCCAAAAGAAGGTTATTTTTCTACAATTAGGACGATTTTAAATCAAAAAGTGAAATTTTACATCAGTTTTTTCTTAGTCTAGCATATTAGGGATTTTTATGAATGTATTGTTGTTCCTTGAAAATCATTTTCTCTTGACTAGACAAGAAATCCATGAATTCACATTTCTTTTTATTGTTTCTCAAGTTTCTCACTATGATTTGTTGCTGCTTCAGTCCATGGGTCATGGATTTCTGGAAACAAGATTGAACCAGGGGTTCGAGTTGAGTTGAAAGAGGGCGATAAGATGAAGCTAGGAGGTTCAAGAAGGGAATACATGCTGCACTGGATTCCAATAAGTCGCGCATATGATTTGGAGAATCCATTTGTAGCTCCACTAGGTGAGGCAGAACCATTCAAAGAAATGGATGAGAAAGAACATCAGGTGAGCTGTAGTAGTAGTAGTAGTATACACCTGTATGTTTTCAACTATTTTGTCCCCTTAGTGTCTAATTTATCATATATTTTTTCTAGGATGAGAATGGCTTTGCTCTTCAGAATGAGGGTGATGATTTGATGCAGGATCAAGATTCATCATTTTCTTGTTCGAGTTTGTTGCCATACATTAAATGTCCAACTCCGTCAGCTCCTCCAATGCCTGAGGAGATGAAGTCCTCATTTCCCTATGGTGATGAGGAAGTAAACATAAATCCACTTGAGAAAATACATGGAGAGAGTGAAATCAGTTTGCTGCAGCCTGCTTACGAACCTGACCAAGAAAACAGCAGTCCGCGAGCCCTTCTTGTCTCAGGAGGGATCCGAACAGAAAATGCAGATAGTACTCCAGTACGATCTCAGCAAAGATGTTTGAACATTTGGTCTAGACGGGGAAAATGTTCCAGTGTTCAGATTCAAACTGGTCGAGATAGAGCTTTTATTGAAAAAGTTGACATTGATACTGAAGTTCACACACTTGATCCTGAGAAGGTTGCAATGGAATCAGTTTTCAATGATCCTTTTTCTAGAGGAAACAAGGATGAAGAAGATGCCTTCACTCCAGACAAAGAGAACCATGTTCCTAGTTCTCTCTTACTTGGGTCCGAGAAGAACTCATGTCTTACTGATGGACAAACTACAAAACCTATGCTTTCTTGTTGTATGGATGAGAATGGTGAAGAGAATTTTACTCTGGACAAAGTGGATTTTTACGCAAACACTCATTCACCAAGGTCAATGAAGAAGATGAGCTGTTCAGAACAAATTAAGAATCCAAAATCTTTTAGATCTTCCCCAATGAAAGAGACTTTTGATTCCATACTCACACAAGCTGAAGGTCTTGAATATTACACAGAAAATGTCGAATCATCTACAATTCTCTCAAATATGAGTAAGAATAGTGAACAAATTTTCACTCCAGATAAAGAGAATATGACACCTGATAGTTATTCAATGAGATCAATAAAGAAGGGAAACATAGAGGAGGTAAAGCAACGAAAACCATTTGCGAAAGAAAATTTGAATGACAAAGTTCTTGAAGAGAAAATATCAGCTAGTCTTGCTTCTAGAAATAAGGCAAGAATGGAGGTAACCATGCTGAAGAACAGAACAGATAGAGTACCATTTCAACCTCTGCTTGTGGCCAACTCCCCCAACAAGACCAAATCAGAATCTCCAGAACGGAAGGTCAAGTTGAATGCTAAACCAGTCAAGTGTCAAGAAATCATTGAGGCATGCCCCTTTGCTGTAAGTTCATTGACATGCTTCTTATGTTAAATAACTTCTTTAAGATTTCTAATCTATCGTTAAAACAATATCCACAGAATAACAATGCCAGGGAAGAGAAAAGGAGGTGGACCATGGTAGTGGATATCACCTCTTTGTTAACCAAAGAGTCAAGAAAAGCTTTGCAGCTTTTGCAAGGTCTGAAAGGGACTTGCCTGATAATTCCCAGAATTGGTAATGAACTTACTTTAGCACTCCCTCAGAAAAGTTCCTAACATCCTCAAATATTTCAGTAACTTTTCTTTCCAAAACCGCTTTATGTGATCTTTATCTATTCCTTGATATTAGTCTTAAGAGAACTGGATTACATGAAGAGACGTGCCAGCTTTTTCAGAAGAGCAACAGAAGTATTTGCAGCATTAGACTGGATAGATGATTGCATGGTAAATGCAAAATCATGGGTTCATGTGCAGAGTTGTGTAGAGGAAACAAGGCCAGTGGCACCAACTCCTCCTGCAACTGCACCACCGTATTTTTTCAATGAGGAGAATGGCATCTTTCCAGTCGGCTCAGTTCTATCCTCTCCACATTGTGGTCTAGCGGAAATTGTTTCACCCACAGCAGAGGATCATATCCTTGAATATGCCCTCCTCTTCAAAAGAACTAACAGAGATGGACAACTTGTTCTCCTTAGCAATGATCTTACTATGAAGATCAAGGCGATGGCAGAAGTAAGACCACAACAACATGTCAGCATATCCTCCCTTCCACATCCCACCACACCCTTTAGAAAACAAGACTGACATTTATTTTTGTTTATTGATTGGCAGGGTATAATCTGTGAGACAGCAGAAGATTTCCAAGAGAGTCTGGTGAACCCATTCTCTGAGAGGTTTCTCTGGAAAGACAGCTCTCCCAGGGGAAGCACTTGGTCATGTGTGGATGACTTTGTTCTTGGACCTCTAAGGAAGACATCAAAGTCAGGACAAGCAGCAAAAGGCTTGAAGCTGATATTGCTTCATAATTCTCATTATAGGCAAATCTGTTCAGGCAGCACAGTTAGCTAGGTAGAGATTCACCCTTAAGGAAGCTGCTTGCTCCATAAGAATTATCATAGGCAAATATGTTCATCCAGCTGAACCATCTAACTGAGCGTTCCCCTTCTTATCAAAGATGTCAAAGATGAATTCAGATCTTATGACCACATCTAGACATGTAAATGGTCATTGTTTTTGTCTTTTGAAACTTCTAGTTTTTCATAATTGATTCTAGATGATTCACAGATTTTCTCAATGAAATCAGGTAACGTTGTGAAGCTTTTGTACATGTATCTATATCTGTAGTCCAATATCTTCAAAAACAAATTCAATGTTAGTTTTAGTTCAGCACTTTGTTAAATAGTTGTTATCATCTGTATCCAGATTCTCTTGTGAAACTAATTAAGGAGAAGTATGTTAATGAAGTCTGTTTGTAACTAAAAGCATATTAATAAAAAAATATTCTGATATTGTTGACTTGCCAAGTACCTAGTCGAAGCCAGATATAACATTTTTAAGCAGTCAAAAAGAGCAATGCACACTAATGAAAGATGTCATTTATTCACAAAGAACTGACATAATAAGAAAACTAGACAGCATTAAACCAAAGACAAATTCACTTGAACTATTCCAATGTAGTAGAACCTATGTTTTTTCCAACCTTCCGGGGGTAATTACATGAACCTGACAGTAGAAAAGAGAATAAGTTTTCTTGGTCCTCAAATGGTGGTTGAGGAAACTCTTGCAGTTCGTTAAGCTTGCTAGTTTCAAAGTTCAAAGATGAGAAATAACTGTCAGGGTTATCTGTACTCCCTTTAACATTCATAGTATTTTGAAGTCCACTGTCATTCTGAACATTTACCTCAAAATCTATATTTCCAGGCATTGTAGTTGCATCATTGGTTTGGCCTTGATCGGATGTCCGAGCAAGACCTTTGGTTTCATCTAGAGGAATTGCAGGTGTGTGTCCTTGGAAAAGGGAAATGTGCCCGAAAAGCTTGTCTTTCCTGGAAAAGGTTGTTCCACAAGAACAAAGCCATTTATCTTTACCACAATGTTTCTCATGTGTTCTAAGATCTGCAATAACTGAAAATTTCTTCAAATTGCACCTACTACAAGCATATCTTTTCTCACAGTGGGTTCTTCTGTAATGGTTTCTCACACATAAGATAGTCTTCAGTGGCTGAAACTTTTTGTGCTCTTTATTGCGCTTGCAACCAACAGAAGGACAGGAATACCTTTTAATAAGCGTCGTCCCAGAGTTGGAATCCTTGTGAGGCTTTGCAAGAGCAGCTGAAGTTTTGTATTCATCCCCATGACCCCTCATGTGCATCCGCAAATTGGCATCTCTCTTAAATCCCTTCCCACAAATTGTGCAAAAGTGAGTGTGAGGTGCAAGAATTTCCTCTTTCTCCAGCTGCAGAATCTCGTAGGAACCAGGAGGAAGGTTCTCTTCCTCATGGGGTTCATCTTCATCTTTCGCCTCATGTTCATCAACAGAACAATCTCCCATTTGATCAACATGGCTGAGCTGATCTTTTGCCTTAGTCACATTAACATTACATGTCAGAGCACCAACATTAGTACCTGTTTCAGAAAGAATGGAGGCACCACCAAACTGCTCGAGTTGCTTGGTAGGTGGATTCGCTTGATGCTTCACGGTTGGAAGAAGACTCCCGGCAGTTGATATCAATTGAATAATAATAGAGGTAAGATCAGTTGTTATTAGCTGTTGTTGCTGAATTGAAAGGTCACTTCCCTGAATCCCAGCTAGACTTCTGTGGTCAACAATTATACGCACCAGCTCCCGGAGTTGATGAATCTTTTGTTCAAGAAAAGACATACTTCGAAGCATGGCTCTTGGATCCCATTCTTTTATTCCAGTAACATCATGATTATCACTGCTTTGATTAGCCTGTTGTTCCATGCGATATGCGTTTTAGATTGCGAAATTTGTTGCTCAATCCTAGTCTGGTGATCCGGAAATGAGTGTAGTTAGTTATTTGAGAAAATTAGTTAAAGCTCTCTATTCTGTTCATAATCCCAAATCAAGATATTTATACACTTTAAGTGCTTTGAAATTTAAAGAAACTAAGATAGAGAGACGTGCCGTCTGTAAGCAAACTGTGCACACTAAGAGAAGAGGAGAGATGTTCGCAATTACTACCACAAGAAAGCCGTCTCCTATCTTCTAACAGAAATTCCTAACCAAGTTCATTGAAACCTACATTTAATTTTTCTACTAGAAGCTAATTTCCATAAACTAAATGACAGCATCCCCATCTAACATCCTACCCCCACCCTCAGACCAACCTCCAACAGAAAAGTAAATTACATAGAAACAAAGATTTCAAAACAAAATCCTGAAAACCCCCCCATATATGCTCTCTTTATTTACACATCGAACTCACATAAAAATTCAATCTTTCTCCAAAATGATACTCTGTTACAAGTTGATCAACAAAGTAAGCATTTCTTTCACCAAAACATCACCAAGATCCAACTACTACAACAACAACAGTGTAGTCCCGCAAAGTAGTGTCAGAAGAGGATAGAGTATACACAACAACAACATATCCCCACTGTAGTCTCACAAAATGGGGTCTGAAGAGGATAAAGTGTACGCAATGTTATTTTCGATAAACCCTCGACTCAAAAGTAAAAACAATCCAAACAACAGAGAACAATATGATATTCGAATAACAAACAGTAACAAAAATGGAAGGACAGGGGCAATACTAGGACAACAAATATGAATGGACAACAAGACTAAAGCCCTAATTAATCCGCCAATTGATGAAATCCAATCAATAAGAAGCAAAAGTAATGAAGACAAACCAGATTAAACATGCTATTTTTTCCCCTGCTATTTTAACTGAGTGGGATTACACAGCAAGAAAATGGAAAGGAAGCAAAAGGGTCGGTTTTACATATATGAGGATAAGCAACGCCAACAACTAATGTCCTATTTCTGAAAATTAATGGATCCCACTTACTTTGTTGCTAGTAAAAGCTAGCCATCACCAACTTTGGCTTTTTGTGAAGAAAATATTAAAATCAACTGTCAAATATTGTTAGCTGCCCACTGCATTCAACACTGTCGCTCCCCACCACCACTACATGCAATGCACATTGCACGGTTTTTGATAAATCGAGGAGACGTGTTATATGAAATCATGATTTTAATTTAAAATTAAAGTTTTTTGTTTGTACATTTAAGTTTGTATTTTTTTTCTCTCCATAAATATTAAAATCTCATAAATTGTGAAAATCATCAATTTTTTTCTCAATTTTATACTATAATGTTATCAAATGAGCAACCATAATTGAGTTCGGCGTTAAAATGGACACTTTTTAGACACTATATATCCAAATGGATCTTTCATATAGTAGGGACAATCTCTTCCCTAGGGGTGTTCACGGTTTGGATAAAAACTGATTCAAACCGAAAAATCGAATTAAATCGATTTTATTTGGGTTAGGTGTGGTTTGGTTTTAGATTTTTAAAAACCGATAGTATGTGGGTTGGTTATAGTTTTGTTTGAAAAAACTGAAGAAAAACCGTATCGAATCGATAAATTATATACATATATTGAATTATTATACATACATAACATATTATTTTAAGGGAAAATGCATAAGTACCCCCCAATCTATGCCCAAAATTCCTGAGACACACCTAACCTTTACTAAGGTCCTATTACCCCCTCGAACTTATTTTTTAATTAATTTTCTACCACTTTTCGGCCTACGTGGCACTATCCTTGAAAAAATTGTCAACACGCGTTGGGCCCACAAGATGGTGCCACGTAGGCCGAAAAGGGATAGAAAATTATATATAAAATAAGTTCGGGGGGTAATAGGACCTTAGTAAAGGTTAGGTGTGTCTCAGAGATTTTGGGCATAGGCTGGGGGATACTTATGCATTTTTCCTTATTTTAATAAACAATTTTAAAGATCTTATATGTATTTTCATCAAATTTTATTTATAATTTACTTATGAAAGCAAAAGTCCCCAATGTGAGAATATTTATCTTATTGGTTTCATGTATATGAGTGTTTATGACTATAATTAATGATAGTGAAAATGTCATTGTCTCTTCCTTCTAGGCCGCCAAAATAATGATTTTTGAAGCTTATTCATAGTAAATTCAAGAGAAAATACATAATTACCCCATTAAAGTAAGACATGTTTTTTTAAAAGGCACTTCAACTTTGCGGGGTCCTAGTACTCCCTTAAACAATTTTAAAGTGTTGTAAATATGCCATTTTTCAGCCACCCTCAATTGCAAGAAAAGAAATGCAATCACACACCACTTATTATCTGCCACGAGTTAAATTTTAATTTTTTATCTTTATTTTCATTTTTGTTTTTTTTCTTATTTTATTAACTTCATTTTCTTTTTCTTTTTCTCTTTCTTCATTACCCTCCTCTGCTCTTCTTCGGTCCTTCTAGCTGCCCAGAAATCCTCGACGTAGCCGCCATCTTCATCAATTCTCCGGAGTAGTCTTCATCATGTCACTATTATAATACCATAATATCATCAAATTTTTGTTAACTCAAAAATAAAATTACTAACAAATTATAAATTGAAAATTAATAATCACCTCCAATCTACCATCTCCTTTTCAAAATTATAATAATTATGCAGCAGAACTCCATTGCGATGAAGGTAAAGGAATTCTATAATACTCTCAAATCGAAGAAATTTCTTTATTTACATGCTAAAGAACTACATAACAATTTATTTATTTATGTTTAAAAAAGAACAATGTTATCAAGGAGGTTTACAATTATTATTATTTTGAAAAAAATAAGGGACAAAAGAAGAAAAAGTAACAAAGAGAAGCAAGAAGACAAGGAAAAAAATGAGTGAAATAAATGGGTCTTCTAAGTTGAAGAAGATAGAGTGGAGGTAGTTGGTTCTTTTGAAATTTGGGAAGAAGATAACAAAAATAAAGAATTGAGAAAGTACAATAAAATAAATAAGAAAGAAAAAATAATATTTCTAATTAAATAAATGCTTAAATAAATATTATTTACTTTTTGGTTCAGTTCACTCTCTATCAGAGATTGAACTACACTCTGCATGCCACGTAGGAGCGTAATGAGACAATTAATTCATTCTAAATAAGAATAATGGGGTAATAGGACCCCTACAAAGTTCAAGTGTCTTTTTAAAAAATAAGTCTTACTTTAATGGGGTAATTATGTAATATTAGTCATTCTAACTATTTTCGTTATGTAATATCAGTCATTCTAACTATTTTCGTTTTGAATGGATTGTTGTCACTTTATTCACATTTTGAATGAACTGTTTCGATTATTTTTATCTATGGTTAATAATCGAACAGCCGAACCGAAATCGATAACAATCAAACCAATAAATATATATTATATTTGGTTTGATTTTGATAATTTTAAAACCGATTAAGTTGGTTTGGTTTTAATTTTGACCAATAACCAATCCAAACTGACTCGTGAACATCCCTACTCTTCACACCGAACATGAATTTTTTCATAAAACTTAAAATGATGAGTGTTTTTTAATAAAATATTCAAGTTTTATATTTTAAAAAAAATTAAAATCATAAGTTCAAATTATGCCCATATCACACTAGTTCCATATCACACCATTTGAAATCATGATTTTAATATGTGGTCCATCCACTAGTTCAAAAAGTTTTTAATTTCTTGTCATGATGTAAAATGAAATGGAGGGACCAATCTTATATTGTCCATTCGAAATATATATTGATTATTATTAAGATAAGTAATTAATTTAAACGTAAAAGTCTTTCTAGTGTAGGGAGCACTATCAATCTAATAGAGTGAACTCAAATAAGTCAAATAGCTTGTATTGTGTATTAAAAATAGATGCTTAAGCACCCATCAAATGGTTTATGTAATGGGACACGATTGATTTGTAAAAGTTTTGATAACAATGTCATACACACGAACAACGAAACAATATGCTATAAAGCAAGTGTTTATTCCAAAAAATCGCTATCACCCAGAGAATGAAGGATATCCATTTAAATTCATTTGGAAGCAATTCTCAGTACATCTATATTTTGTAATAAAAAACTAATAAATTAAAGCGTGTATGGTCAAACAATCTCAAATCTTGAATTATATCTCCACAACATGTTTTCTCGCATGGCCAATTATACGTAGCACTTTCAAAGGAAATTTTAATGGCCATGATGAAAGTATTGATTATGACTGAACAACCAGATAAAAGGACATGGACATACATTAAAAAAATAGTATATAAGGAAGTATTAGGTGAGATATGATTGACATTTGAAAAGTGTCATGCAATTGGGGAAAAATAACATTACAAGAAGCTAATGAAAATCTTATTGATTGTATTCATAGGTTCGGTTGAATAAGCAACGAGATGACAATCACCATACATATTGTGAGACACAAATGATGATTCAAGCTAAATTTCCATGGGGTTGAATCCTAACAGGGAGACCATTGAGAGGTACAGGTGATGATTGGTAAATAATTTTTTCATGTGGAACCAATTTCTCTAACTTGAAATTGGTAACAACATTATACATAAAAACAAGAATTTCCAATCTTGCATATTCTTTTCCTGGACACATTCTTGGTCCTCCACCAAATGGTACAAAAGTGTATGGTGCTGGTCCACTTCCTTCAAATCTACAAGGGTCAAATTTTTCTGGCTCTGGAAAATATTTTGGATTTTTGTGTGTTGAATACACATTCCAAAATGTCTGTCCAATATATAAACATAATTAGAAAACTAAATTAAGACTTTAAGTGATCATCTGAAATAGTATCTCGAAAGGTACCTTCCATCCTTTTGGGATAGTAAATCCTCCAAATGTGAAGTCAGTAATTGCTTCTCTAAAAGCACCTTGAGCTGGTGGCATTAGCCTTATTGCTTCACATGCAACATTCCATGAATACTTCATTTTCTGGATATCATCCCAATTTAGCAACTCTCCTTCACCTTTTGACTTTCTAATTTCCATTTGTTCTATTTCAAACACCCACACACAAAAAAAGAAGAAGATAATATATAAGTCCTTAGAACCTATATATTCACCGTTAGTAAAAAAAAATAAAAAATAGGCTCACTCTCAGTATAGATAGTCAAGTGTACACAAACCTATTACTCTTACCTCGTGGAGGTAGAGAGGTTCTTTTCGAGAGATTGTCGGCTCAGATGACAATCATAAGTTAATAATAAATACATCTTAATTTTAAGCATTATTTAACTTGTTATTTCATATTGATAGTGTAATAAAATCTTTAAAATTGTCAAAGTCAATAACTAACATATATATTAAAGTTATATACATCAGCAACGCAATGAAATGAAATTTTCATATCATTTATGTAATTTAACATGTTATAACATATACTTACTATTTGTTTTAGATTACAAATCAATTTACTATAAGAATAACTAGAATTATCAACAAAAAAGTTGGTTACCAACAAATTAGAATCCTTTGATAAACGGAATCTAAATTAGTTAAAGTTACCTATAATTACATTTTAAGTGATCTGATTATCTGTGTGTGCATAAAACTACTAAAACCATAAAGAATTAGTACCTTTATAAACCTCGTTAAAGATTTTTGGAAGCTCAGCAAGATATTTCAAGACAAAAGTGATAGCAGCACTTGTTGTATCATAGCTTGCAACAAGTAACCCTATAATATTATTGTAAATCTCTGCATCATTCATAAATTGACCATTTTCATCACTAAAACTTGTAAGTCGAGACAACAAATCATCACTATAATTATTTTTCTCATTCTTCCTCTCTTTAATAATCTTCATAAGCTCCTCACGCACCATTTTTCCCCCTTTTATCGCGCGATTATAAGGCATACCGGGTAAATTAATTGGCACGGTAAACATCCCGGACGTTACAAGAACGAAAGGGTCCGATAACTTTTTAACGTGTTGAAAATCCTCTATTGATAGGAATAATTTGCAAGCCAAGCTGAAAGTATATTTTTTTACTAGAGGATAAATTTTGACTTCTTTGAAAGGGACCCATTCTTGTTTTAAGTGATCACGAGCCATGGAATCCATAAAAGGGATGTATTGTTTGAGATTTTCGGGTTTTAGGATCTCATGTAGGAATCCACGATTTAAAAGAGCAATTTTTTTGATAGAATTTTGAGATTGAGATTGAGTTGGGCACATGAGTGGTTTGGTTAGAGACGGTGGCCACCATGTGGTAAGAAGATTGTTTTCATTTGAAAACAAAAACTTGTTACCACTAGAGCCACAAAAAATCGCGATTTTTTCACCTAAGAGGGAGGTTTTAAAGACTTGTGATGAGTGTTTTTCCATTCTTTCATGGATGAATTTCTCTGGGGATGATGAGTAAGCCATGTCAATGTTTTCTCCAAGAATTGGCCATCCATTTGAGCCTGGTGGAAGAATTGTGTGTTTGTTATTGGAGTAATTGCCTTTGAGAATAAAGAAAATGAAATAGAGAGAAATGTAAAGAAGTGCAAATGCTAGAGAATAAAGAACAAAGGGATCCATTTTTTTTTTTTGAGATAGTGTCCTTGCACAAATTCATTTTAAAGGACTATGGATGTGTAATGTGTTCAATAATGAAAGAATTTTTTTTTTCTTTTCAACTTTAATCTTGTAGGTCCCATTTCCACCACCCCACAGGCCCACGCTCCTTACTTTCACTTCATAAGTTTAGACTTTTCTGGATATGAAAATATTCTTAATAAAAAATATTTTTTTTTAATTGAGCCTTACCTACGCGATGCGAATTCACAATAGTGAAAGAAAACTTTTTATCTCTAACTATTTGGATAGAAAAATTTTATTTTGAGCGAGGAGGTACAATCAACAAAAGTTGTATGAGGATTCATTAACTTTTTGACACATGTATTGTGGGCCCAATTGACATTTAAAACTGGAAAATAAATCAAAAGGAGAGAGAATGTAAAGTTTGACTGAAAATTAAAAGGAAAATATTGATTCCACACCAAATTCTATTAAAAATAATAATAAAATAAAAGCAACAACATATGCATTCATATCAATTATCAATTAAATCAGACCATTTATAGACGATCTTTATTATCTTCTTAAAGGTTGAAAATCTATGCTAACAAAAATTTGTATATGGAAAATATGGACAAATGAAAATTATAGACGAAGATCAAAGTGATTGAGCAAGATTTAGAGGGAAAGAATCAAGATCTGAACATCAACTTTCCAATTTTCTTGAGCATCATTAATGCTATCAACTTTTTTTTGACATTGACAAGATCCCAAATAGTTGAAACACCAATCTTCAAGAAAATTGCATGTTTAATTTAAATAGTTGAACATGCATCTACGATTTTTTACTGAAACTAATTTGCTTGAAATGAATGAAACTTTTTTTTAATTTAGGAGTTTTATGTTCAAGAAGAAGAAGAGGAAAAGTCCAGGAAGGAGTGCTAGAATTCTCCTTAGAATATGATAAATTGAGCCCCACAATTCACTTTTAATTCAATATTTTACTAATTTATTTAATAGTATTAGACGTGGACCCCATATTCTCTCTCCTTTTGATTTATTTTATAGCTTTAAATGTCACCCACAATCCACGTGTCAAAATGTTAATGGATCCTCATATAACTTTTATTGATTGTACCCAGGGCGGCTGGTAAGGGTTAAAAAAAAGTCATTGGCTTTAGGCCCCCAATTTTAGGGCCCCCATTTTTTAGTTAATAAGGTAGGATTAAATTTTTTAAAAAAAAATTAGAACTAAGACAACAAATGCCAACCGCATTAATGAAGTGATAGTTGACAATTATTTTTTACCTTTTTGATAAAAAGTTGTGTACTTTTTTTTTTAATGTACAAGTTATCTTTTTTTTTTTACCTTATTCTTTTTTTAATTTTATTTTTATATATTCTATCCTCTCTCTTCCTATCTTCTATTTTTTCTCACTTTCTCTTTTCTAATCTTACATTTTTATTATTCTAAACTTAAGAATTTACTTGTTCAATTGATAGCTTTTATTTTAAATTTTTAAATTTTTTTTAAGGCCTCTAATTTAATTTTAACCTTAGGTCATCAATGGATTTGAGCCGCTCCTGATTGTACCTCGCTCAAAATAAAAACTTTCATAGATAGAACTAGTTAAGATAGTCGGGCGTCGAACGGGCTGGCCTAATAACATAAATAAAGTTATCATCCATTATTATTAAGGATAATTAATTAAAATAATTTAGAAAAAATATATGTTAGTATCTACAATTTTTTTTTTTAAAAGAAACGCAGCACAGGTAAATCACGTTTTTTTATTCCTCCTTTATAGCAACTACAAAGTCCGTTTTTGTCTGCTGATATTTATTTTATTTTTTTATATGATTTTATGACTCATTCCTTATAGAATGTCATAAAAATATATTTTTTTAGGAGTTTTTCAAATTTAGCAGAAAACTGTTTAACAAGAAGTGCAACATTAAACATATGCTATTGGTGCAAAAATTAAAACTTTATTCAAAATATCTCTTATATTTCCTTCGATCGATTAACTTTATGCAAAGAACTACTCAAAAATAAAAATAAACTCTAAGTTACTTTAAAAATATTTGTATATAAAGACAAATTGCAACTGTGTGAGCAAAGAAAGAAAATAAATCATAGGAGCTAGTGGTGAATCAACTTTTATATTATTAGATCATGAAAATAATTAAATATTGAGTTTTAAATTATTTTTTGTGGAAACATAGTGCTTTGTAGTTTACTTTTTGTAGTGTTGGAAAAAAATTACATTAGAGTAAGAAAATAAAAAAAGGTCAAAAGTTGAATATTGAATGTTTCCACGAATATATGTCATTTGCACACTACTTTAGCCAACTATCACGCGCATGTTTAACAGAAAATAGGAGCCTAAAACTCATATATATTTGGTCGAAAGGGTTAAAAATGTCTTTAAATTAGATGAAATTGGATTAAAAAAAAGAATTTTCGCATATAGCCACTCAAAATAATTTAAGGCTTTATAGCTATAGTTTGTTAATTACGATTCGTAGCTACATGTTAGGGGAGGAGAGAGGAGAGCGAGAATGGGAGAGGGAGGAGAGAGGTGAGCGAGATTGCATTGGGAGAGGGAGGAGAGAGGTGAGCGAGATTGCATTGGGAGAGGGAGGAGAGAGGCGAGCGAGAGAGACACTAATTTGTATAATTCGCATCTCGTTTGTATAATTCACGGGTACGTTTGTATAATTCGCTTGTATGTGCATAATTGAGTAATACAAATTCCAAAATTGTACAAATATTTTAAAACTCGATATAACGAATTTATACAAACATAAACATCTGAACTTTAAACAGTTAAACAAATTATATTATACAAATTACATTATACATATTATATTATACAAAATTCAAAAACTACATGTTTATACAAACTTTAAAAAGCTATACAAAAAAGATTGAATATATATGGTGATAAAACTCAAAAATCAAAGGAAATCACCGTCATATTCAAATACAAACCATCATATACATACAAATCAAACAATGAATTGTTAGTTGCGAATTATACAAACCTGGCTAATTATACAAATGTGACTAATCATACAAACTTGAACCCATCCCACGTAATTAACAGTTAATATTAGTCACGAGTGATAATTATAGCAAACTATAACTATGATGACTAATTAAGTAGTATAAATTTGTTTAATCGCATAAGTTTCCTATAAAAAATGTCTATGTCATTAATTTAAAAAATATCTCTATTATTTATATTTTGATCCTAAAATGTTTCTATTTTACTTTGTCCTTATCCTGATAAACATATGCCATTTTTTGAGCCAAACAGTAAACAGAAAGGGTATTCTTTTACCTAACTATTAATGAAGAATTTTTTTATTTAATTTCACAAAATTTAAGGATATTTTGACACTTTTCTATTCTTCTTATTTTAATCAAATAAAGAAAAAGAAGATACATTATAAGAAGTGACGTAGCTATATATGTCCTTGATAGAAAATAGATTTGATCGAAATTACTTCCTCTTGTGCTTGAGATTCAAAGTTATTTTTATTCGAAGCATTAATAGTCTTCTGTGTTTGTAATATTGGAGTAGCTTGTCCGATCATGAATCGAAAGTTTGGCGAAGGATCAAAAGTGCACCCATATTTATAAATATGAACATAAAATTATTAATATTCTAGGTAAAAGAAGAAGGATCGCTCTCAGTTTAAACCTAAAATAAGAGACTATTTTTAGCTTTTTCTCCCTGAACATCACTAAAATTTAAGTGTTAAACATTAAATCATGCCTCAAATCAAACAATAGTGCATAATCACAAAAATAAACTTGAGGTGCCTCAATAAATAAATTTCTCAGCAAATATATCATATACAATATACAACTCAATGAAAGAATGAAAACAAAATCAATCTTAATATTAAAAAAAAATACTTTATTTATAAAGAGATATTTACGGTTCAACTCAAATTCAAATTGCAGGTAAGGTGGATAATGATAAAGAGGTAAAAGATAATTATCTTCAATTTAAGTTGGATATAATAATAAAGAATTAAAAGATATTCGTAAAAGATCCGTTTTTCAACTCAAATGCAAATTAAAGATAAGTGAGATAATGATTAAAATTTTGTTTTTAATTCAAATTGAAGATAAGTACGATTATGATAAAGAAAAAATAATATATATATATATATATATATTATATTTGTCGTCAGTTTAAATTTATGAAAAAAAAAATGATTTTCAACTAAAATTTGAATTGCAAAAAAATTATATAAGGAATCAAAAAAGAAATATTTATGTTCAACTTGCTTTTAATCCTATCTAATAATTAAACAGAATATACACTCCGATCATGCTGGTGATAAGTATGAAGACTTTGTCTATTAAAACTCATAAGCATAGTCTCCGTACTAATCACAGTGTGATCAATGTATGTCTTTTGATTTAGATTTGGTTTGATGTCCCGTCCTAGTGAGAATCATGGTTATTGCCTTGGAAAGACGGAAACGGAGGAATTATTTTGGCACTTGAAGTTATAATTATAATAGAGAAAAAGGATAAATATACTTCGAATTATCGTAAATGATATGTAGATACTTTTTTTCATATTTTTGAGACATTGGTTCCCCTGCCGTCCAAAAACCAGAGCGTATATGCCCTTCACTCTAACGGAAGATTAAATAAGGACACGTGGTGCAATCTTATCCATTGATCCGATGTCGGGTTGGTGGATAAGATTATGACACGTGTATTTCCGTTAGTATAAAGGGTAGATATGCTCTAGTTTTTGGACGGTAAGGACACTAATGTCCCTAAAGTATGACGGAGGGTATCTGCATACCATTTACGATAGTTTGGGATATATTTGTCCTTTTTCCCATTATAATATATAGTAAGCACTCTTTTGATAATTACATGTGTCATGATATAATGCTACGTGAGTTATGATATTTGAAAAATAATGATAAAACATTGAAAAGGTGTGTATTAGATGCACTTGATAATGTTTTTTCAATTTTTTCAT